ACGATGGGTGTGACGAAGGGACTTGAGAAATAATACCGAGGTAGCTCGCCAGGGGGCCAAAGGATCGATATTTTGAACCCCTGGGGCACAGAACCCAACTCTCAAAGGATTTATACCCATCCCTCTGGCAACCAGATGCCACTGGCATTCCGGACCCCATTGTCTTATCCACATATTTTTCTATTCTCCGAATCAACCCCCTCCTCCCCCCGCCCTTCCTCCTACCGGCAGGGAAAGACAACACGGTCCTCCCCCATTGCTCCCTTTATTACCTAGAAATCCCACACTTCATAAGATTATCGATCTCCACCGGATGGAGTGTAATATAAAACTCGAAGAACCAAGTCCTCCAGTGTAATATTTCCTTCAGTTATGAGGGGTGGATGCCTCCATCCTCCTAATCCATGAGGAAATGTCACAACAGGGCTTCATCTTTCAACTTGAAACTCTCGCGAGTGCTATGTCTTATTTATAAAGCTATCATATCCCCCTTCTTGAAATAATGCTGCACAATACCATTTCCACACTCAACAATTACAAAGCTAATGTTTAATGCAGGGCAGAGGCCAAGAAGCAGGGAGGATTCAGCTCTTAGTACGATATTTTTTGAAACATGAAAGCTTCCATGTTGAACATCCGGCAACATAATTTCATGGATGGCGTGATCAAGAGGCATCTCGGGGTTTTATATCCCGTGGAATAGCCCCTGAATTTCTGTTCTGGGGAGGGACATGCACACCGGGGCTGTGGATAAAAGCCGAGGGGGGATAACGGACTGGAAATATGTGGGTTGTACCATCTTCGAGGATGATATTTCCAGAAGTGCATGGAAAACACGACACGAGTGACGGAGAGTGGGATTATCCTATCGAATTCCCGACTCGTCGATGATTGTCAAACGGAGTGAAAATAAAAATGCGGACTCACACTGGAAAAACTAGTGTCTTCAGGAGGTCTTAATTGGAGGATACCAGACGCAAAAATGTGGCTTATAGTACCCCAATCAAAGAATATAAAAAAAAATATATATAATGTGGGCAATTCCATATATTTAATATATTTTTTTTAATACATAAAATATATGTTGTATATAAACTGGGCCAATTTCAAATAATTTTTATATATTTTTCTAAATCAAATGAGAAATCATCAGACACTAGTTTTTCTACTGCAATCCTCGGAGTGAAAATACATGCATTATTTCTCGCATTCCATTGCTCGTTGATTCGTGTTGTTTTTTTCTCAACATTTTTCCCCTTCAGAATTTAGTCTGAGGGGTTCATCTAATTTATAATATCATAAACGAGTATGCTTTATCTTGAATCTGGACGTGTCGTGCGGACTCAACATGGCAGTAGGCACGCGAGAAAAGGACTTCGACCCAGAAAATCTACCCCCCTTGCGCTCGCCCCGCACGCCGGAGGGAGAAAGTAGTGTGGTAAATCGATCGACTCGTTAAAGCCGGCTTTTTTTGTCTTTTCTCGCGGCAATTTAATTAGAAGTGGCTTTTAAGTGAACCCCTTTTAGCCCTTGATCCGTGACTCTTCAACATTTTTTTTTATTTTCTCGTTTTTTATCCCTCCGTCTACGAGCGGGGGGGGGGGGCATGAGTTATTTGGAATGCGAGGGACGAGCCGCATGCCTCAAGCCGCGTCTCAACTTTTTCCACTCCGCCTTGCTCTCACCCGGTTCACCATACATCTCCCTCCCTTTCGCAAGTTGTGGGTCCGAGTTACATAATGCAGCTGGTCGTATTGAATATTTTTCCCTGAGTAAAGTGATAAAGAAATCCTCCGTGAAGCTCTCAGGCCCCTCACCCAAACGTTTACGGAATAATAGCCGTGGCACGTGGGTGGTTTTTTTCCTGCCGCTGTGAAAGACTCCCTATTCTCTTTTTAAATTTGATGGATTATACTGAATCAGTCTTGTTTCTCTTTTATTAGGGGTGACTCATATTAATGGCATTGCATGGCTGTCGGTTGAGATTTCTGAGTGAATATCTGATCCCATTTTGAGAATACTAGAATATTGTTGATAATATCTTTTCTTAAAATTGAAATTTTTAATCACATTATGATTCCACTGATAATTCTCCGCTAGAAAAATCACAATTACAAAGACTTCTCCCCGAAAGCAGAAAATAAAAATAAATCAACTGAGGTATGAGACGCGGGGCTGTAATTTCTGTGGATGTGTGTAGGCTCGAGAGGATAAAATTCCCTACCCTTTACTCCTCCTTATGTACGTCGTAAGCACACTGGAGAGGTTGTAAAATTGCATTCACCATGCCGACTCCGTATCCATGCAACTTTCATCCCCTTTACTCTCTCACCACCAGCGAATACGTTCTGGGGTAAATAAAATATTATTTCAGTAAACCGGCTAGTCTGCGACTTTACAGCCTAGACTGGAATTCTTTATCCCCTCTGGAATAATTGAGAGAGTCAACTAGGAGGATTGATTGCCAGCCCTCTCACCCGCCAATTTGCTGAATGAAATTCGTCATGCAGTGCGACAAACGAGCGTCAATCAGTTGATTATAATAACGCAGTGGAATGTTTTAATTTCGATATCAAACGAAACGTGAGTTGATTGAGGCGTTAATTAGTGGGCTCGCTGCACCCTCCTTTCGGAACCCTCAGCTGTACCTACACAATGTCTCGGCTTTCTATCGCCGGCTCTTCTCGTATTGATCACGTGGCCAGTATTCGTTCTTCTGTCGACCTCCAGAGTAGAGTGCCTAGGCACGTGAGTACATACGCAGGATCGTATAACAAATACGCGACATTGGGATGTTCCGAGGCTTTTATTACTGGGGATTTCGCAGGTTGAGATGGTTTACTGTCGCTCATTTATTAGAAATTTCTGTCTGAACTTTCATGGAAAGTGTGATAGTAATTCTCATGAGATGAATTTGAATGATGAATGACGATGATGATGAATGATTGAACGTGAATATTTAGAAATGAAATGACATGACTTTTCAATTTTTCTCTGAATTTTCCTGATTTTTCAGAATTTTTACAAAATAATTGAACTGAAAAATCAAGTATTTTATTGATTTTCTCATCATTTGAACAGAAGACCAATAGGATAGGTGATTTTTCAATGACAAGATTTCCTGAAATTTCAGCAGAACTTGAACGCAATGAAAATTTCCTGAATTTGGGACAGAAAACTCAGGCAACGATTTTTAACAGTGTACTTGCATTTGTCACATTATTACCGAATAGGAGAGAATGGGGCAATGTGGGTAATACGGACTCTAATTTTTTTTAATGTCAATAATTCATTCAACTATATTAACTATTGATAAAATGGGATTATTTTTTTCCTCCTAAAGGACAATTCTTTCTCTTTTAGAAGAGTTCAGTCCGAGCACAATTGATGATTTTCGTTTGAGTCATAAATATTTAAAAAATAGATGAGTTTATCTTGAATGAAATTCAAATGGATAAACAAAATACAATCTTAGAGACAACTCTCTGAGTGAAGCACATTTGTATGAACTGTACCAAGCGAAAGGAATACTAGACTTAAATCGTCAGTTCGGCCAAATTGTCTGGGTCAACCTACGGTCATACGCGAACGCAAAGGGGCACTCCCAGTCCGCCAAGGGAAAAGGGACGAGATCTTATCGACCGAGGGATAATCGCGCAGATGTTCCCTATTGTCCAACATGATTCCATTATTATGAAGTAGACTATGAGGAAATATCCATTCCCTTCTAACTCATTCTTCGAAGTAAATAGCGCGTGATGTGACGTGGCATTGGTAGGTATGGCTGGCTCACGTGTGGAACAAGGGGTAGCAGCCACTGCAGGACGAACCACGAAATGGGAGGTGCATACCCCACGCAATGGCAATGTTAACGCGACCTCACGCGGCCTTGCAAAGTCCGAAAACGCCGGCGAATCGGGCGGATAACAGGAGCATAAAGGAAGTAAACATCCCAAACCGAACGGAATGCGGAAATAGTTTGATTACGAGCCACTCCTGCACTCCCCTGTTCTCCCGTTCGCCGGGGGTTCAAAGCGGGTTTCTTCGATATGACACAGAATTCCAACGACACCAGCAAAATTTTCCCATTTTGGCATCTTTGATGGGCCCAAATAGACAAACTTTGATAAATGAATCAACGTTGCGGTACAAAGTTTCCGAGCAAACCTAATGAACGAGATAACACGATGAAAAATCATTCCGAGGAATAAAATTGATTCGTTTCTGTCTTCCATGGAGACGGGATTCTGGAGAGAAATTCTAATTAAGTTGATGCAAAAAAATCCATTGGAACAAGTAAGTTGGAGCTTTATGCATTTGGAAATTGATTTTCATTCTAGAGAAAGGTAGAGCGAGGGAAAATGCTTGGGGAACAGGAGTGCAAGCCCCAGTAGTTATGACCCAGTACATGTCAGACGCGTGTGCGCGCGCATCCAGTGAACTTCATTGCACTCCTGTTATCCCGATACAGAAACGCGTCACCGAGATTTCTTCGCGACGTAATACGACATTCTTTTGCCCGTCCCTGCTACAGAATCCGAGTGAATTCTTTTCTTTACTCAGCCCTCAGCATTTCGTCTTATTTGCTGAGGAAAAACCAACGCCTCGGGTTTACGGGAATAAAAAAAAAACATCATTCTGCGTAGCGCATTGTTCTTTTTATCCTTTACAGTTCTCTCGGTGCGGCACAAACCCCCATCGATATCAATTTTTATCGAAGCGAAAATCGGTCGATGAATGAACGAAAGCGAGGCAAGAGAGATGTACGATTGGGGTATATAGATATAATGCGCGTGTACACGCTGATGGAGGTTTTAGTATTCATATTGAATGGACCTATCGGGAATTCGGCGGCATGTCGATGCAAATGAAAGGTATAAAACTTGAGGTCCGATAACACGATTTCATCCGCTAAATTACCTCTGAATAATTAACTCCAAAGCTGAATTCACCCATCGATCATGATAATTCTGGGGTAAAAGTGGACAGAGTAAACTTACCGCGTAATTTTTTTTAATTTGGGCCCACGAATATACCGAAGTATTCAGTTTGAAATCCATCTTCGGTGGGCATTTGATCAAGGGTTTGCTGTCGCACATCTTGAAGTGGAATTAAATAAATCGTAGAAGTAAACTCGCAAAGACGTGAGGAATGAATTTCCTGCGGGAGTGACACGGAGTATTTTCAACTGTTTTACGAATTTTATTTTTTTCAAATAAATGAAGCAAAAAAGAATGAGAATTTTGAATGCAAGATGCTATCATGCTATCGCCTTCAGTGGTGAAAAGGGCAAGTTTAAACATTTGAATGAGCGAATGAGGGGGAACTACATTACCAGCAATTCAAGGCGGACTCTCACACCGTTGTAGTCCCCCGACCGGCCTAAATACTGTCCCAATCCGGGTACCTTGGTGACAACTGGGAAACGACAGATTGGAGTGAATGTCTCCTTTGGTCATTCGGTTTATACCTGACATGCTGCATTGTTATAAATTCTCCATTGTTTAAAATTAATGTTGAAAGGAGTGTGAACCGAGGGACTGACGACTCTGAACCGAGGCAAGTGAAAGTGCTAGGGAACATAACCTCGAACCGTTAAGATGGAATTTTCGTGGCTAGTTATCTGATTGTTGCAAAAATAAGAACAATCTCCTCTTGGGATTGGCCGACGATACCGCAATTTCACGTGAATTATTTCCATTCAGACACTGGACCTTCCGAGAACTCACGCCTCTTACCACCGCTGATGCTCCAATATTGAAGAGGTCCTATTATAAATAAAAAAGAATATGGAGATCTGCAAAGAAGGAGGCGACAGATCTAGCTATGAACCCCACAGACAATTGAAAAAATCGTGGTCTGAATTGCGAGGGGTTGTCAGTGAGTTTCGAAGACGTCTGTCAGGTGCGTCTGATGGGTCTGTTCCGGATGCTGTCACATTCAGATCGTTACCAGATGGCCGGTGAGTTCAATGAAATTATGTAAAGCCAGAATACCACTGGTGCCTAATACTCGTATCTAATCCATTGAATTACTCTATTCAGAATCAGAATATATTTCTTGGGAACTCCAAGTAACGGTTGGGAGACGACTCTGCTGTATGTCGATGTCGGACAGTCTGATCATGTGAAGGGATGTAAATTACACTGGCAACCAATTATCGAAGCTAATTTTCAAAGGTAAATACAGCCAAATATTCTTTAAGCAAACTTAGAGCTGAATGGACACTCCATACATTTTTTTAAATATTCGCAAAGAGAAATCTCTTTGCGAAATTAAATGAATAATAATTAAACAAATGTTCTCTTTAACGGAAAAAGAATTAGTTCATCAGCAACTAAATAAGGTTTTAGCATTTGAAAAAACTTGTAATAAATTAATTGAGAAAAGAAACAGTGATGAATGTTAATTTCAGTGTATCAAGTGCTAATAGACTGTCAAGGGAGGAGCAACTGCTCTGGGAGAGGAAAAGACTGACAACATGGGGAATCACGAGTTACGAACTCCACCAAGAGAGTGGCGAACTGGTATTTCCAGCAGCAAGTAGCCTCTACCAGTGTGTGGACACTGGTTTTGGTTCAGGTCCACTATTTCCCTCTGAACTGAGGATCTCCACACCAGGTGCAAAACTCTGCCCCCAAATATGCCCCTGGAATGGATCTCTAGTTGCTTACACCTGTGCTGGTGACATTCACCTGTCCCACCTGATCACAGGCTGCTCAGTGAGACTGACTCATGCCAGGAAAGGTGGTAGAAGTCTCGCTGAGGATCCTCTCACAGCTGGAACCCCCTCCTACGTAATGCAGGAGGAATTCACGCGATACAATGGCTTCTGGTGGCAGCCAAAATCCACAGATGGTGTCTATCGTATCGTCTACGAGGAGGTGGACGAGAGTGACGTGAAGATTTTTTGTTTTCCCTCTTCCACTCTCAACTCTGGTGAAGTTGATGAGTTTAGATTTCCACGTGCTGGCGCGTTGAATGCTAAGAGTAACTTGAAAATGGTGCAGTTTCGATTGACAGAGACACTTCAAATAGTTGATATTGAAATTCTAGAGCTTCAGTATCCTCTTCACATAATGTTCCCCTGGATGGAGTACCTGGTGAGGGTTGGCTGGACCCCAGATGCTCAGTATGTCTGGGTCCAGTTGTTAGACAGAAAACAGCAGAGACTGGAGTTGGTACTACTGTCAGTCGACAATTTCTGCGAGCCTCCACCCAACATCTACAACTCTGAGAATCACTTCACACCTTCTTCAGCGAGTGTTCAAGTGATTTATTCTGAGCAGAGCTCGATATGGATCAATGTCAACGATCTCCTGTACTTTCTGCCTTCTGACGATCCGAAGGAAGTCAAGTTCATTTGGGGGAGTGAAGAGTCTAAATTCATGCATTTGTATCTGATCACTTCGAGTATAGCTGGCCTAAGCAATGGGGTGGAGGAACCACTGGACAGGATGGACAGTGTATACCTGCAGCCTCGGATTATCTCGAAAATGGCCATAACGCAGGGCGAGTGGCCGGTTCTGGGGAGGAAACTTTGGGTCGATGAGTCACATGGCATTGTCTATTTCACTGGGTTGCGAGAGGGTCCACTGGAGCAGCATGCTTATGCCGTTTCCTTGGGGAGACCACTCGAGATAAGACTTCTGACGAGACCAGGACACAGTTACAATAGCATTTATCTGAATAAACAGTGCACGATGATGGTGACTGTTTATAGTTCTATTAAAACTCTACCAACTTGCCAGGTAAGTGGCATTAAAAACGATACTCCACTTTGAGATGCTGTTTATTGTTTATTCTCGTTGAATTTCCAGTGACAATTTTTTAAATTTCAGTGGAACTATAGTGTGATGAAAATTCATAACAAAAAAATAATTTTCAATGTTGATTAAATGCTTCGTTGCATTAGGTTTTCAGATTATCACAAACAGACTGGAGCGTCGAGAGCATAAGTTTAACTCCAGTGGGATATTTACTGGAGCCCACGATCTCAGAAATCGAACTGTTAGCCCCATCAATTTACGCGCACAAGATATCGTCAGGGGACACGATATACTCAATGGTCTTCAAGCCCCATGATTTCCAGCCTGGCCAGAGGTATCCCACGATACTTCAGGTTTACGGTGGACCAGAGGTTCAACTAGTTTCGAATACTTTCAAAGGAATGCGACACTTGAGAATGCACATGCTGGCATCCCAGGGTTACTGTGTGGTCCTCATAGATTCCCGTGGGTCCCACTATCGAGGTCTTGTATTCGAGAGTCACATAAGGAGAAGAATGGGTCTCGTAGAGTTGAGTGATCAAGTGGAAGTGCTCAAGCTGTTGGCTGACAAGCTTGGATACATAGATTTGAATCGAGTAGCTCTTCACGGATGGTCCTATGGTGGTTATTTGAGTCTCATGGGGCTTATTCAGTATCCCGAAGTGTTCAAAGTAAGTAAATAAAATTCATTTTTTTTTTTCAAATGACGAGAAAGTTCTGTTGAATTTCTATTCAACTGTATTTTTTAAAATATGAATGTTCAGTGAGAAACATTCTGTAGAAAAACTCAATCAAATTATATTTTCTATAGAAATTCCTCGGCATGGATTTCTCAAGTTTTATTCACACTATTTTTTTCTTTCCGTAAAAAAAATTCTCCAATAAAATTAGCCATAATTTAGTCATAAGAATTCAGTAGCGAAGCGGTAAACCGGGTTAAGTCGTTTTTTACTATTGCCTAGTTTTTGACGAATATCTCGGAATCTAAAAGAGATAGAAAGATTTTTGTCATGACCTTTTTTGTAGAGCCAATAGAGCGTTATAAAAAAAGTCATGAGAAAAATTTTGCTATCTCTCTTAGATTCCGAGATATTCAGCAAAAACTGGCTAATAGTCAAAATCGACTTAACTCGGTTTACCGCTTCACTACTGAATTGTTCTGTGATTTTTTTCTCACCCGTGAATAATTGAAAAACTATTACTCTGCCAATAGTTGGCAATTGCTGGAGCTCCAGTGACATGTTGGAACCTCTACGACACCGGATACACCGAGAGATACATGGATTTACCCCGTGACAATTACCACGGCTACATGAACAGCTCAGTGATAACGTACGCCAGTAAATTCCCAGACGAGGAGAATCGCCTGCTCATAATCCACGGCCAGATGGACGAGAATGTTCACTTCTTCCATACCAGTGAGCTCATAAATGCACTCGTCAAAAGTGGAAAGCCATACCAACTCCAAGTATATCCCACCGAGAGACACAGTCTGCGTAGTTTGGACGCAACCAGGCATTACGAAACAACACTCCTCTCGTTTCTCCAGAATCATCTGTGATTCGGGTGAGGTGTATTTTCAATGCGAATTTTTAGGGAGAAAACGAAGAATTGCAAAGCAACTGCCACTCCATCTTTTTATGTACATAAATAAGAAACTCAACATTTTTCGCTTTTTTTTTCTCATCTTCAACTTCTTCCATTACTGAATTTCATATTTTGTCCGTTCGTCTGTACACAGGGAGTTGAATAATCTATCGTCGACAGTATTAATCAAGAGAAACAACTATCGAGACTTTTGTTGCCATAATAATTATTAAAGTAACTTTTGAATGAAAAATAATAACCGGTCGGAGGTTTGATCAGTCTGACGTTAAGACACATACAAATACTGAGTGAAAATACTTCGCACGATGAGTGATTTAAACGCGAGGTTTATACTTGAATGGATTCTAGAGCTAGAAATTGAAAAATGGTGAAATTCAGTCATATCGTTTTATCAGTCGACAATACTCACCATGCGTAATTGTTTGTGGTTTCTCCTTTTTATTTTAAAAAAATGTAACGTGAATCGTACTTATTGTCCCCCGACAACTCGCGTTTCCCAAGTTATTTCATTTTCTTTTTTATACCCATGTGTTTTCATTCTAATTCTTTTTTTTTAATGAGACGATAATAATTGGTCATGTACATACTATCTCGATCGACCTTGATCTTTCATGATGAAGAAATTGAAATCACAAAGTGAATGAATCAAGCAAAATGATAGGCGCGAGTATTAGTGTAATGCAGGTATTTGCGAATTGTCATCATTGTGAAACAATATGCATTCATTGAATTATGATTTAATTGTCAATAAATAATAAATTCACTATTTTATAGACATTGTTTTGTTCCTCGCTATGTTTACTCCCTTTAGTTCCTACTGTTGAAAAATTACTGCTGAAACTCAAGAGGAAAATGTGCAAAAATGGGTTTAAAAGGTAAAAATAAATAACAACTAAAGCCAAAATGAGTACTTGAACAACTCAATCAAATTTACTAATACTTGATGAAAGTTTTAGTTTTACGATTCAAGAACTTGTACAAAAATCTGATCTGCTTTTGCATGTCGTTCCATTTCGTTGGATTTGAAATAGGGAAGATACCTTTTCCCAATATTTTCTTCTTTCGTATGAGAATCCTCATCTGATCGTTCTTTATACCACGCAGCCAGGAAGGAACGTTGTACAGGATTCGTGTTGGATGGAGGCTGTCGTCACCGAGGATGTCAATGTAATCATTTTGTCCAAAAAGTGCACGTCTTTCTGACCAATTGTCAGTCGGACGATAAACAGGCAGTTGACGTATTCTTGTTTGATCTTCTCGTGGCAGTAATCCACGGTTATTTATTGGATCTGTGTACCCGAAACGTCTGACGAGTGGTCCATTAGCTCTTCTCTCTGCGTGATAACGAAAACGTACTTGAGTTACTTGCGGCACCCAGGATGCCGCCGAGATGATTTTTCTCCTGATCCAGGACATTGCACTAGAAGGAAAATGAGTAGTTATTTTTCCAGAGGTGTAAATAATCGATTAATTGAAATGCTCTATTCATTCGTGAGATATGATATAGATCTAGGATAAATACAATTAAATAAAATTATTTATTCATCTCAATTGAGAGATTGGGGGATTGGCTTTAGGCCCTGAATGGAGTCTACTTCCGAGAGGCCGTGTATAACCCAACTTTTCAGAAAATGGGAATTCCTAGTACCTGGAAATTAATTTCAACAAGGAGATTAGAGGCATCGAAGACACTTACCAAAAGTGTAATGAAGATTGATCTATTTCAAACAATCATCAGAGATTCGCAGAATAATTGCAAATTTTATTTTTACGAAAGTAAACACTTCTGAAGATGACGCGATATCAGAGACGCACGCGGGCGAAGGGAGAACTCGTCCCGCGCGAGGGAGGGATTGTTCGAATTTAAGTTCATTGTTGTGTTTTATCAATTGATTAGGGTCTAAACTCCTAAAAATCTGTCAGTATGTGGACGTAACACCGCTCTTCACATCCACAACAATTTGATAGTTTTTTTTCAAATGCAGCTATTGTTGTGCGCTATGCATTATCAATCGAAATTTAATTAATTACTAGTGGGGTCTGTGCACGGAGAAAAAAGAGCAAACAAGTCAAGTAATTGTGGAGCAGAATCCATTTCTCGGTCTTTTTCACGTGATATCAGGACAAAAAGGGCGAGACAAATAGGTAATTTGTGCCGAAACCGGAAAATTTACTATTTATTCCATCAAAAATTGTCCCCCGAACGTGAATAAATGCTCAATATTGCGTGATTATTCACAAATGTGTAGGAATTTTTTTGTGATGGAGAATAATTATAATTATATGAAATTAAGAATAATTATAATTATTATAATTATATGAAATTAATATTATATTCATATATAGTATATTAATATTAATATAATATTAATATAACTATAATTATTTTTAATTTCAATTCAAAATCTTGTATCATCCAACTAGATTCCTGTGGGAAATCTCATCATAATAAATGATCCAGTAATTTCTCAGCACAGAAACAAAACTTGTCTCAACTGTCTGTCTTTTTCGATCATTCCTACATTTATGTCTCTTCTTCCAGGCGAGAACCTATTGATTTGATGAATAGGCTTCGCCAATTCAAACAAATAACTGGAAAATTCCTGAACATGTAATCCACCTGTCCGGCAGAAAAATATCCCAGACCAATCGCGCAAACAACTTTCACTAAAAGTGAAATGCATACGATGAAAGTGTGCGAATAATTCCCCGATGATTCCAATGTGCATTTTAAAATTACGTTGGAGGAAACTGGAAGGTGCCTTCAAAAGACTCCACTGGAGATTTTCCACGCAAATTATTAAGATGTGAGAAGGAAGGAGATACAGTCTCGTTTCGTCATTAGGCGAAAGTCGATGGACATCTCAAAGCCAGATCGAGTGCATCAAGCACTCGGATGGAAGTTGCTTGGAATTGTCCATTGCACTTTTCGCTGTCCTCGAGTGCACGTTTATTCACATCACTGATCCCAACATTTTAGTTGTCAAGAAAGTAATTACCCATTTTCACTGCTCAGAAATAAAAGTGATTGAACTCGCGAGAGATAGTATTATTCAAATGATATTATCGCACTGACTAGTGATTTTTTACATAATCAGAAAGGAGAAGATGACGCAGTTGATTTTCAAAACAGTGGACGGAAATGTGGGCGCTAGACTTGACAAAATGTACGGAGTAAAATCAAGTTTCCTGAGAGTGGAACCTTCTCACTGTCTGCTTCCACCGCATTTTGTCTTCCTGGGCCCAAAAATTCGGGATATGGAGATCTACGAAGACGACGTTTGGATGGTGTCCTACCCCCGCACAGGTAAAACACGAAACCGAAAATTCTCAGTGATTTTTACTCACGCATCACGATTTTGTCCAAAGGTAGCCATTGGGCCCAGGAAATGGTGTGGTGCATCGGAAATGACTTGGACTACGAGAGTGCGAAAACTCCTCTATTGATTCGGAATCCCCTTCTAGAGTGCGTCTAAAAATTGTGAATTCAAAGTCGATGTTGTTATCATTTTTTCAAATTTACGCAGGTCCTCAGCTTTGATGGTGACGGGGAAGTACGTTGATTTCTTCTCGCAGTTTGGAAATTCTGTTGAGAATGTGGAGAAGACGCAGAGACCTAGGTATGTCAAGAGTCATCTGCCTTGGGAACTCCTACCTCAAGATATTTCCAAGAAGAAACCAAAGGTAAGAGTTATTTACCGATGGAAATTAATGAATTTCACGTGATAATTCTACAAATTCATGCGGAATGTCTTGCAGATTATTTACGTGACCAGAAATCCAAAAGACACTTGCGTAAGTTTCTACCACTACTGCAAACTAATGCACGACTTGGAGGGAACATTCGAGGAATTTGCAGAGCTCATGTTAGAGGACAATGGTAATAACCACTCCAGCCTCACTCAGTATTTTTTTTTAAATTGTATTAAATATTGGAAATGTTTGGAATTTTTTGCCATTGGCAGCACCAATGGGGCCATTCTGGAAGCACGTTCTGGGCTTCTGGAATCGCAGAAATGAAGACAACATTTTATTCCTCACATACGAAGAAATGAAGAAGGATCAGCTGGCAGTAATAATGCAAACTGCAGAGTTCCTGGAAAAAACAGTGACTCCCGGGCAGGCAGAGGAGTTGTCCAAGCACCTGGAGTTCTCCAGAATGGCAGCGAATCCAGCTATAAATTTGGAGAGCATCCTGACGAATAATACCGATGATCCTGACACGAAATTTATTCGAAAAGGACAAGTAGGCGATTGGAGGAATCACATGAGTGAGGATTTATCTTGTAGATTCGACGAGTGGACTGAGAGGAATACCAAGGGAACCGGCCTCAAATTCGATGTCAATAACAATTAAAAATTATCTAAAATTCTGCTTCATATGTGTAATTACTCTTTCATGCAGAAGTTCTCATTAAAAATTTCTAAATGACATTTTGTTATGAAACAATTGTCGAAAATAGTATTTCATATTTTTACTCACTCATTTCTTGTAAACACTCCAATTAAAAATATCAGAATGATACTTCATTATGAATCTATCGCGAGGTAATTGAAATAAATGGTTTTTTTTATCATTGTTGTCAAACATTTCCTGATTGTTGAAAAAATAAACACTAACAAGTCACATTCAAATGGCTGATGATGGTGGAGGCCGTTTGACGTGAACGTGTGTGTAAAACCCACCAATACCACGTTACACTGCACACCGAGGTCAAAGATGGCGTGCATTTATGTACTCTGTCAGGGTTTTGAAATATTTTCGATGAAAAAAAGTTTTTGCTAAAGACAAACAACAATTGTTCATTTTATCCGACTAATAATTGACATCGCGCAATAGATATACCGTAAATCATCAATGGATCGACGTAATAATAATTTTCTTCGACGCATTTGTTCCCCAAAAAGTGCATTGGAATAGAATAACATAACCTATTTGTTCGAAAAAAAAGTTTAGACTTGACTTGACAAATGCATAACCTAACTCGGAGTGAACCTTGAACTGATGCTTAAATAAAGAAATAATAGATCCCTTGATTTGTGGAAAGAAAGGCGTGAGGAAAATCGCTAGTAATGTTAAAAACACTGGTTATTAGTCACTGATACATTTTCGTACTAAATTATTCATATGTGATAAGCAACCGATTGGTGCAATTGTGATCAAAGAATTTTTTTTATACAATTCGACAACGAAAGAATATATTTGAATAATGCCAAAAATAAGAATGAGACAATCACATGGGGGAACGTGGCTTCAGCACCGAGAGATGGGGATGAACCCACCTCTGGGGCATAGTGATCGTTTTTTCAAGACTCTGTACTCGTCAATTCAGCCAGTTACTTCATGGGACCATGGGGAGAATCCCTGTAACGCGATGCATGGGGGTGTATTCAATTTAGAATTTTCACCTGATGGGTGAGAAAAATTTATTTGACAAATAAATCATTGATGTTCTATTCATGCTGTACATTTTATTACACTTGAATTTGCCTCTAGATCTCTTCTAGTTGGAGTCTGCGAGAAGAAGAGCATTCTGATGTTTGATCCACTGTGCAGACGTCTGGTTCATGCAATAGATAATGCCCACAACGACTGTGTCAATTGTGCCAGGTAACTACCGACCCATAAATCCTGGAATAAAACGTTTTCACTCCGAAAAAAATGACTAAAATTTACGTTTTCCATTGATTTTTTCCTGAAATTGTAAATTTTTAATGGCATAATTCCGTCGTTACTTCTTCATTCAAGATTTTTGGATCAACGAATGTTTGCCACCTGCTCAGACGACAGTACAGTTGCACTATGGGACGCAAGGAATCTCAAGCATCGCATAAGAACCCTCCAGGGGCACTCAAACTGGGTTAAAAACATAGAATACAGCCCCAACGATGGATTATTACTCACCAGTGACTTCGATGGCAGCATATACACTTGGGACATCAACAGCTACTCCGAGAACAGCTCCTTCTACAACCGAGTATTCCACACAAATGGTCTAATGCGAACCAGACTGACGCCAGATGCCTCCAAGATGCTGATATGCACAACATCCGGTTATCTGATCATCATTCATAATCTCAAGTTGAGCACACTGACTCAGGACCTTGCAGGATTTAAGCCCAACATGTATCGCCTGATGCAACTGTCACAGACAACAATTCCAGCTGCTGCGAGTTTTACACATTTGTTCTCACAGTCTCGACAGCACAATAGAGTGGAATTTCTCACGGATTTCCCGGTTGGCGATGATGCTGAAGTCATATCGAGTCTTCAAGTGCATCCCCAGGGGTGGTGTGCTCTCTCTAGGAATGTCAGTAATGGAGAAAAATCAGAGGTAAATTGAATTCACTTAATGATTTACTGACTCCAAGGCAACATGAAGCAATTTCGACATCTCCTAGTAAAACCAGGGGATTTCAGTGTTCTTTAACATGAATTTTGAGATACCCTAGTGTTAAAAATAAAATTGAAATACCCTTGTTTCATCGGGAAACGTCGATTTCTTGAAATTTCAGACAAATTTTTTTACCAGAATAATTGAACAACTGTGTCCTAACAAAACAATTTTCCCTCAGTGGACCTGCATCCATGACATCCAAGAGCGGGAATCCCCGGACCCCTCAAAGCCCCAAAACGACGAAGATCCGAGCCTGCCCTCACTGAGTGACCCCCCCGACGATGACTTCGAGGTGTCCAGTCAGCCACAACCCTCACGCTCAGGCATCCCCTCCTCCTTCGTCATCGACATCACCAACCGTGCAAGAATCGTCCCAACAATGTCAGACGTGCGCCCCAACTCGTTCGTATCAACCGATGCAGCCCAGCCCACACGTCCATCCAGGTCGAACGGCTGGCGCATCAACGTCCGCTCAAACCTCAACTCCAATCGTTCGCGTCACCGAAACGTCATGAGAACAAGTGCTGGAGTAGTTGAAATAAGTTCAAGTGTCGACAATCCCCCGAGTGAGAGGCCAACGGACGAAAATAGACAAGAGCCAGGGCCCGAGGCTGATCAACCCCCAGAGCGAATGGACCCCCGAATCCAACGAGGACTTTTCCAGTTGAATTATCTCAGACACAGAAACATGGACAACACAAATTTTCCAACCGCAAATGTCGAGTTACACGTGAGCTCAAGTGACGTTTGGGAGGCTCTGGTGGCCATCAGAGAGGCCAGATTGAGAAGGGAGAGAGAGAGAGAATTGTACACCACCATCGACACTAGAAATTGGTTGAGGAGATCAGGAGGTGGTGTGAGTGTTCCACTGCCCCCAAGGGGCTCCCACACTGTCGTCATTCTCGGTGATCGAGGCAGACCGCAGAATCAGACGCGTCAAGGCCAACAGCCAATGTACGCGATACCCAGGAACCATAAAATCCATCAGAACGTCTCCAGACTGACTCATTACATTGAAGAGCCAAACGTAGGATCAGGATACATCAAGGAGCTGTGCTTCTCGGCCGACGGCAGGCTCATATGCTCACCCTTTGGCTATGGAGTTCGTCTTCTGGCGTTCTCCAATGAATGTCAGGAATTATCCAACTGTGTTCCATCATTGAATGAGTCCCAGCAGCTGTACGATTTGGGGACAAACATCAGTCACTCTGACTATGTATTGAGCACCAAGTTCTCGCCAAGACATTGCCTCCTAGTGTCAGGCTGTCTAAGTGGAAAAATTGTCTGGCACCAGCCTGTAGTCTAGCCAGAATAAATTATGAAAACTTGTAACTGCTTAATTATGCTCATTGATCTGCGCTTCTCTCGTGGCCCAATTGTTCAATTTAAATTCACTTGTGTTCATTAATTTTGATCTCCATTGTTATGTTTCTCTATGTATTTAATTTTTGATTCTTTATTTTCATTTTGGGATTTTGTGGAGTAATTAGCATCAACGAGACCATCAATTTCCATAATTCCCAGAGAAATTATTGCGCAACGAGCAGAAACATGTCTTGAGCATGTAAATAATTCAACTAGGTACATATTAATAACAATGTTGATGGTATTTAATTGAGCTTCAAAAATTTATTAAAATCTACAGATACTTATTAATTCCATCATAATAATAAAGCAATATAATCAATGTTTTTATTATAAAATTGTAAATAATAGTACACCAATCGTTTCAAGCGTTTTCATCAACAACAACTTAATTGTTTATATTTCCGAGGATTTCATTCGAAGAATAACAGGAACACTTGTGCAGGGGAGAATACCGAGTTCGGTGACAACTGCAGTTATCAGTTCAGGAGGTGTCACGTCGTAGGTGAGGTTGAGAAGGTTCAGATTGGGCTGCGCCTTCCAGTTCGCCAACGCAGTGCTCCCAATTGCAAGCTCATTGGGATCGCCAATCTCGTTGTTGACTATCGAGTCTGTTTGAACTCTCTCGCAGGTTTTGTATGTTTCGCAGGCGAAGAGCACCGGAATGTTGAAGGCTTTGGCCATTAGGGCTATTTGAGCTGTTCCCAGACGCGACATTATCGCTCCATTCGCAAATATTGCGTGAACACCGAGCAAAACTTTGCTCACCTGTCAATGTGTAAATTGGAGGAATGAACATGTATGTTAGGCAAGATGATAAAATTTTGGGGGAAATTTTTACGAAAATCTTTGGGCTGAAATTCTCAAGTGACTGTTCCCCTGAAATTCCAAGGAATTTCGTCGTTGAACATTTAAAATTATTTGAAAAAATCAATGAAAACTGCAAATTCCAGTTCAATTATTCCACGATGTGAATATTTTTCGACGAACATGAGCAATACTCAGGGAGATGGCAAAATTTTTCTGGAGATTTTTGTGCAACTATTATTTCTATCTTAAAACTATTTGTCATACGTACTCCTTCCTTCGTGATGATATTGCTAACTTGAGTAATCCTCCCATACGAGCATTCAATTCCATATTTCGCCAGTCTTCTGAGCAACTCCTTGCCCTCCAGAAAAGGTCTCCCATCGAGTATAACAACCCTGAACTTTTTTCCCTTGTCGTGAGCTTCGCAGAGAATTTTTTGAATCAATGAAGAACTGGAAATCAACACACAATTAATCGACTGTTAATGATTCACCGGTGATTACAACTCACTAGCTGCACGTGAGGATGACATCTCCATTAGAAATCTTCGATTGAATTGCTATCGAAATCGCCTGGCCTGCCAGGAGAATCTGCTCCTTGATGTAGGTATCGATGGCTGTTCCTAATTTCGTTTTTGCCTGTCGAAAAATCGATCAATTATTCTCAGCGAATGAGCCATTCAGGGTTGACAAAGCATAATACTAAAAAAAATTCTAATAATCTCTCAAAAATAGGAAAAAACTCCTCTAGAGTTTTCATCCCTGAAATCTCATCAACAAACCTCATTATCAGATATCTTAGAATCAAGCTGTGAGATCTGCCACTTGAGATGTCTCAGCGCATTGTGCATGGTGACAGCCATGGGCCTGCAATGATGAAGATAAGCCGAGTGCTCCTGCAAACTGGCCTCCAGACCCCTAGTGAAATCAGCCTGCGAAGGCCTCTCAAAGTCCTGAATCATCTCCTTAACAGCAGCGAGAAAAGCAATGCACCTTGCATTGCTCCCCACGACGATTTTGCTGGCATACTGGACGCCAAGTCTGACAATAGCCGGATGTACATGCGAATTGACAGGAGGAGTGTCCACGAACGCCTGTCCCCTCTCGTGATACAGATGTTTGAACAGCCCCACCTCGTGATTGCCATCCTTAACGATCACCTTCTTGATCTTCCTCTGGGATTTCTCGACCTTTTCCTGGAGTTTCCCCTCAACCTTCTGGAGTTTCGGTGCCTTCACCTCAGCCTTCGCGACCTTCTGCGCCTCCTTCGCAGCCCTCTGAGCCTCCTGCTTGAGTCTCCTCTCCTCCCTCAACTGAGCCTTGCTCTTTCCCTCATCAGCACTCTTTCCCTCCTGCTTAATCTTCTTCTCTCGTGATACTGTCGTCTGATGTGGAGTCACCACGAAATCCGAGACTGTTAAGTTCGAGAACTTCTCGCCAACATTCGAAATCTCTTTCTCCACTTCCTCGTCTGACATGACATTATTCAGTGTAGGCTTGCTTTCAGGAACTGAAAGACAGTTTTCCTGCAGATGATTCGCAGCACTCGGCTTCGGAGGGTTCTTCGAAGAATTCGTCACTTCAGAATTCTGCTTTGGACCCTTCGACTTGTTCTTTGCAGCTGCTTTCGCTGCCTTCTTCGCCTCCCTCTCCGCCTTTATCTCCTCCCTCGTTTTACCTTCTGCGTTCATTTTTATTTCTCTGGGGGCAACAGTCTTTGGGGAGATGATTTCTTTGTTCGATTGTGCCGGGGACTTTGGTGAGTCATGGCTCAGTGCGAGCCCATGACTGATGTCATCCCTGAATGAGTTGCGGAAGAGGTCTGATGGCTGGATATTTGGGGATTTTTTGATGATTAATTCGGTGTTTGAGTCGTTGGGTTTTGAGCGACTCAGGGATTCCGTGATCTTCAGGTTCTTCTCGTTGTTCAGGAGCTCTTGAGGATTTCTTTTGGTATTGAGGATCTCCTGGGAATTTTTCTCGGGGTCGGGACGGATTTCCTCGGTGGAGGTGGAGATCGTGGAGGTAATTTCAGAGGTATCAAAGGACGCAGATGGGGGACTCGGAGAGGTTGTGTGATTGCTCTTCTTCCGCAGTCGACGAGCTTTGGATTTTGAGATTACCGGTGGAGACTGATTTTTGAGGGGTTTTGCAGGGTCTCGGTGGTTTTCCTGGGATTCTGGGGGGGTGGTTTCGGGGGGTGATCTCCGAGCGTTGATTAAGCGCTTCCTGCGGAGGTGACGCGCTTGGGAACGAGTTATTTTAGTCGTCTCTTTGGAATTCTGCGAGGAGAGAGAAACTTATTGGGGTTTTTTTTCGGTGCATCGAGGTTCGGGGGAATTCTGCGGGGATCATTCTGGGAATATCTCGGGGTTTGAAACAACAGTGTAGACAAATAGAAATTTCATGCCTTGTAATTTTCTTCTGAAAGTTAATTCATTTTGTTTTATCCCTCCAGAGCAGTACTCATCGATTCATGCATGAAAAAATTCAATAGAAGACTTGGGGAAATTTTGTTAACTTTCTATTTTGATTCTCCGGAAATTCTGTAGGGATTTTATTTGTGTTTTGCTGATTTCTATTGAAAATTGAATAATTTTTACGTGCCATTTTGAATAAATATCTGAGAATAGTCAGTAGATGTTGACTTTTCATTAAAAATTCTTCAGAAAAATCCTTTCAAGCTTGCCTTCTTGATTTTTGTGATGAGAAACGAATAAAAATGCAGCGAACACGACTTTCAACACTCATTATTTTTCCACAATTTTTCTTATTATGGAATTATCGTAGAAAAAATCTTAAGAGAATTTCATTCTTTCATGAAGTATGTGCCAAATAATTACCTAAGAAAACGTCTAGAATTATTGAGGAAATTGCAAGAGAATTCCAATAAAAAGTGAATGAAATCTCATGTCGAAGTCGCTATTGAATTTTTGCGTAGGTATTAACATTTCCCTTGCGTTAATTACAAATGAATTAAAATTAAAGTAATGACATTCAGCCAAAATTCACAAATGCAACATCAGCTTTCCCCGATAATGACCACAATTATTTGTCACATGCAACAGGTGAAAGTATGAGAATGCGTCAAAGTTCACGGAGAAGATGATTTAGACTCTAAATTTTAGAGGCATTAAACCACCAGTCTTTTCTATAAAACTCATCTCTCAAATCAATAAAAATAACCATGACGAAATTTTTGAAGTAAAGAGGAAATACCGGGGCGGAAACTGCGGTAGAAGCAGCACAGATTATTTACTAATGAACAAAATTCTATTTTAAATACACTCGGCACTACTCTCTGTACCTTCTCATCCATTGCCTCTGTGTCAAATCTCAGACCTCCCACTGGGAAAATCAATATTAGTTAAAGAAAAATACATTCTTTTTTCAATATATACATATGTTGTGTAACAACTGGTGCAGGTTATGTTGACATTTTTCTAAATCGAGTGAATATTGTCGAGGTTTATGACAATAATCAGACGATTTTCTGACTTTAGCTAATTGTATTTTTACCTCGTGGAGATTACTCGATGATTATTCCTGGGAGATGCAGTTAACACGAGTTTTTATGTCACTCACTGTAAATATTCAGGGGATTTCAAGTTCGTGAACCGCGTGAAGTTGCATACCGTAGGCGAATGCAGGATACAACTTCAGGTTCAGTCTGTTTTGGAATTTATTTTTGGAGGTAGGAATGTTCGACATCAACCCTCTGAGGTGAAAGTCGGCGGAGTGGGGACGGGCAATTCTTACGGAAAGTGCGTAGAGTGGTGGAAACTCCCATTCACATCAGAGGGTTAATATAATTGTCATGTGGCCTATCGTTCGGAGGTGGTATCATCAAATGTTGATCGGAACCCCTTGAACCCGATGAAAAATATTTGAGGTCAAAAAACATCGATTTAGAGGTTGGGAATTAATTTATCGTTTAGTTATTTTTTTCTTAATTTTTGTTAGGGCCGGGGGGGGCAACTCGGGCGGCGTAAACTCCCCCGGGGCCCCCGGAGGACGATGTGGAGTAGATAGGCTAAAAATGTCACAATTGGTATGGCAGAAACTAGAATCCGTTTGTGGTTCCACCTGCAGGAAGGTGATAACTAAAACGGAATCGGATCCGAGAGATGGCGAATGCGCTGCTGAAATCTGGTTAACGGGGGTTGTCACATTAAATTCTGCAGGAGTCCACCGAAATATGAATATTCTGCGTCATTCGAGTTACATTTCGCACAGAATTATAATTTTTTTTAGACATTCGTTGTTTATAAATAAATAATTGAAATTGTTTAAGGATGTTCTACACCCTTTCTGCCAAAATTCACGTTTTTTTAATTTTTCTGGCAAACTTATGATGGAATTGACGTGAAAAAATATAACGTTTTTGCGTTTTGTCATTATTTAATGACTGACGAAATTTTAAGGTGGTGCGAACATTTTCCTGCGTTTTCTCTAAACTTTTAAAAAGAATCACAAAACTGTAGAAAAAACGCATGAAAATTATCGCACCACTACGCAACTTCGTGAGCCATTAAAGAATGACAAACCACAAAATCGTTATATTTTTTCACGTCACTCCCATCGATAATTTGCCAGAAAAATGAAAACAACGTCAATTTTGGCTAAAAGGGTGTCGAACATCCTTAAACTGTCGGAAATCTTATTTTTTAAGGTGTAAAATCGATTGCTGGTAAAATTCTGAATATGAATAATTTTTTTACGATCGCGAAAAAATGATCCGGTGGATACTTGATTGTTTATAAATTATTTATAGAACATGCTCGTAATTTTAAACAAGCAGGGGGCAGCATGCATGACAGTGAGCATGTCACCGAGTGATGTCTCATTTTTTTTCGCTATCGATACATCGATGGCGGGCTTTCGAATGGTCTGAAATATTACAAAAGTTTACAGCCTTACAACATTAACTTTAACTCATAGCAAAAATTTCAGATGTTTAGGGGAGGGTGGGGTAAAACGGACACTTTAGACTTTTTTAAAATTATTCATAACTCAGAAACAAATTGATCAATTGAGCTCAGTTTAGACTCGTCACAAAGGGGAAGAATTGTTCTTTGCATCGAGAAAAAAAATTATTCAATTTTATCAACATTTCAACCCCTCATTAACATTTTAAAAAAAGTCAAAAGTGTCCGTTTTACCCCAACCTCCCCTACTGCTACCTCCGGGGGGCTATAAAAATTCGAATGTTTCAAATACTTCGTATGAGCGAATGTATATATTTTGATTAATTTACATAGATGGCATCGAAACGAATATTTTGAGAATGAAAAAATTGAAATCGGTCCAGTAGTTTTGAAGATATTTGCGGAAAACGATTTAAAAATGAATCGCTTCTTCTCAGGCCTATAAACAGACAGAATTTCAGATTTTTTGGCATTACTTTAGCCACTCAATCACTCACATACAGACATGGTCGCCAAACTTCGTATTTTTTCGTTTCATATCATTCTACATAATTTACAATCAAAATTAGAAAATGCGATAATTTGGCGATTACAAGTGTCCAGTCGGCAGCATAAAACTTACCTTCGTTCTATACTATTTTCTCACCTCGAATTGTCCACCAAAAGTCGGAATTCCTGGCAGAATTCCTCGAAAGGAAAGTGCTCAGGTAGAACCTATCTTCAGGTAAAGGGCCTTGTCCCGCCATTTCGTCCCACGAGCTATTAAAAAACCGTGCCCCCCATCTTCGGGCACCACAAGAGCCAACAGGTTGTCCCACACCTGGCAGTACGTTTATTCCCACCTAATCTTTCGCCACATTATCCCCCGCCACTAGAGTCCACAGAGCGCGAAACGTAAAACCCAAGCGAAACTTGGACAGAGTGGGGGGCTGGCTCGCATAACTGGTGGGGCCCGAGAGTCGTCAGTGAGCTCACGCACGTCGTGCCCGCGACTTAGCCGTCAAAATAACCCACGGGAAAGGCCAAAAATGGCGTTTCAACGATAATAAACCCACCGAGTTGTTCCTCACTGGTTGTCGCAACTTTCAGTCCCCCATTTTCTCTCTCTCTCTCTCTTTCCTTTTTTTCACGTTATCACAACAACTCGCGAGAGGACAGAGTGTACGTCCCATATTACCGGGAGTGTATCGATTTTTAATCGCTTCTCAGATCGATCAAGGGAAGAAATTCCAACGACTTTCCCCGGTCGAAACGAAACGGGAAAAATTGGCGCGGGTTATTTGTTTTGTTTATGATTTCAAGGTCTGTGAATTGCGGGATTAAGTGAGTGGTGAGTGATATTCGGGTGATTTAATTGTGAATTGATTGAGAAGAACGTGACGAAGTGGAGAAATTTCTTGTGAGCGTTATGTACGTTTTACTATTTGGTTCTCGGGAAATGTTTGAGAGCCGATTGACACTACACCGGATGCCGTCACGGAAATAATTTTGATATTTATGACGAAAGAATTCTCCGAGTGGCTGTCAAACTACTTATCTTTGTTAATAAAAAACGGTAGATATGGGTTTCTCCTTTCGGTCGGCATACCGTCAATGTTAATAGTAATTGAACTCTCCTACTTTTGTTGTTCCCTTTGATTGCAGAGTATTGAACAGAGATATCGCTTTATGCAAAATTCCACGCGATTTTTTTCAGTCAGAATATGAAATAGAAATTTAAATGCAGAGAATTTGAATGATTTAGTGTGATTTTGTCAATGCGTAGTGAATTGCAGAGAGATATTTTCTATGGACTGATAAAATTCAACTCAATTACCACTTCGCAACTGATTTGATGATTCTCCTTTGAATCCTTCAAACCACGACGCACATGGTACTGCCAGCGATGGCCAAGCGATGATGTCACCTCGGTTGAGGTAATTCTCGCGCCAACAAGTCACAATCCTTGATTGTTATTTTTATTTTTCAAATTAAGTACACAACTATAAACGGCACGTGATTAACGTCGCCTCCCTGAAGAGAGGAAAAACGAGTTTACCTGACAATTTTCTGGTTTTGTCACTTAATTATTAACCAAGTGCATGAATATCGCCTTGAGGAGTGGAAATTGTAGTCAACAAGTTGTGAATAATCTTCCTATTTGTTGTTCAGGGGGGATTTCGAGTACTCAACGGAGCGTAATGGGAATATCGATATTGATGTATTGAAAGGAACCCATTGTTTACGGTTTTTTTTCTTTCCATTCGGTTTGCCATCGTATGGGAACGACGGAAATCTTTATGAAAGCACGTTACATACCTGCACATTGTTGGCATCGAGATAAGCAATCGCGTTACTTTCACCCGTGCGAAAACCCTAGGCCTCTGGCCACTGTGCGCGAGTTGCGCTCTGGTACGCAAATGACAGTCAATGCCTTTATTTTTTATCTTTTCCCCATTATTATTTTACTCTTTATTAACGGCATTTTGTAGCCGGTATTTAGTACCCTTGTCATCTCTTTCGTGAACGTTAAGAAATGAGGAAAATAACGTTAAACTTATGAAACTGTATTCTACGAATACGTCATCCAAGAAACTGTTCGCCGTAAAGTCGTTGAATGATCGTTTTCAAGTATCCAATTCAATACGTGATTGCACGGGAGAATGACATTTAGTGAAAAAAAAGTGTACTTTTTTTCAATCAATTTGCGTGCACAATATTTGCGCAAATTATTTAGGGGTTTGGGGGGGGGGGGGTGGGGGGCAAAACGGATACTTTAGACTTTTTTTAAAATTATTCATAACTCAGAAACAAATTGATCAATTGAACTCAATTTAGGCTCGTCACAAAGGGAGAGAATGGTTCTTTGTATTGAAAAAAAAATTTGAATTTTATCAACATTTCAACCCCCTAATGTGCACGCCTTATTCGATTTTCACATTTGCGCACGAACCCTGTCGATTCAACCATTTTCAATCATCAAACTAATCAACTGAATTGCGTGAGAACAATTTGAAAAAATTATGAATATTCAGCGTCATTAAAATGACATTTTGCACAGAATTATTATTTTCTTAAACAATCGTTTATTAATCAACAATTGAAATTGTTTAAAAAATCAATGATTTATAACAATGTGATAAAATGAGATATTCGAAACCAAATAGAATCGTTACCATCACCTTAATGGCGATGTAGGTCATCTCCGGACCTTTTACTTCCCTCAATTATGGAAAAGCGTTTCACAAGAAATCTCTTCAGCTAAATAATTCGAGTGTTGAGTTTAATTTTATTCTACTTACAAAGAGCGTTAAAAATGCAATCCGTGGAGCAACTGCGACCAGAGGAGCTGGTGGGCCTGGTGGCTCGATCAGCGGAGGGCACAGCAGCCAAAGGAATGTCGATAAAAGGAAATGAGGATCTTTGGGTTGAGATTCAGGCGAACACTTTCAGAAACTGGGTGAATGAACATTTGAAGCATGCTGGCGATGCCGGCGGTGGGCCTGTGATTGACCTAGCCGAGGACTTTCGAGATGGCACTCGGTTGTGCGCCCTTGTAGAAGTCCTGACGAAGCGCAGGCTGCCCAGGTGGAACCCAAGACCTGCTAACCAGCATCATCACTTGGAGAATGTCTCCACAGCGCTCCAGGCTATTGAGGCTGACGGCGTTAAGCTTGTTAACATCGGTAATGATTTTTCACTATGAAATTACTTTTACAGCGCTGATAAGTCAATTAACGAAGTATAACAACTAATCCTGGGAAAAGCGAAGTCGTAGAACTGCTCGAATCAGAATGATTTATTTTATCAAGTGGTAGAAGGAATTGCGAGAAATGGTTTAAGGCTAAAAAATATCTTCAGACTTTTTAATTATAGGGGTAATTCGAGAAGTTTTCAGAAAATTTGAGGGAATGCAAGGAAAGGAGGAGGAGTTTCTAGGAAATTCGAGAAAGAAGGAAAGACCATGGACGTATTCACGTACAATTACAGCTGTATCGAAGATACAGCCTATTGCAATTTTTTGCAATAAACCTTTCACGTACCGTAATCCATAGCTGTTGAGATGTTTGTTGAATTCGTGCGGTTATGAAAAATCAATGAAAAAAAGACGCTTTTCAGATAACTTTTCATTTCTTTTTCGATCTTTTCGCTTGAGATATGTCCCCTAGGAAATACGTTTTTCTTAAGATTATCTCCAAAATTCTAACCAGCTGTACTATACAATTTAGGAGATAATAAATCAGTAGCGAAGCGGTAAACCGGGTTTGACTATTGGCCAGTTTTTTACGAATATCTCGGAATCCAAAAGAGATAGAAATTTTTTTGTTAGAACCTTTTTATAGCCCTTAATTGGTTCTACAAAAAAGGTCATAAGAAAAATTTTGCTATCTCTCTTAGGTTCTGAGATATTCATCAAAAACTGATACCCCCTCCCCACACCATTTTTGAATTTTATGAGAAAACGGTTCCTACGATGTTTTCAAAAAACTAATCCGTAATAGATTGACAAATTCCGAATACGTAGATTTTTTTTAAATTCTGTACTAGATAGTTTCTGCGATATTCAACTCTAAAAGATGGAAATTTCATGAAAGCATTTCTTATTTGATTCAAACAGTTATTATTGCCTGCATCAACACATATGAGAATAGAAAAAATCAATAACTTATGAGACAGTTTCGGTCTCTCCACTTGAAAAATATACAAAAAAAAACGATTATGATCCGAATATTAGAAATTAGAATATTCCTTCAGAAAATTTTCCAATACCGATTTTCTGTTTTTAATGTAATCCGGAGACTTAACAACAATGCGAAATCCCGAAATTCTAAACAATTGCATATTGGTCGAAGTCAAATAGTCCGAAGAATCGAAACGATCTTCTGATAAAATCAAAACCGTCATTTTAAATTGACAATCCAAGAAAAATACATTGGAGTAATAGATTCAGATTCACATTACTCAGTACTCTCAAATTACAATGCAGGAGGAAATGTCTTCGTGACAGAAGTAATTAAGACGACGTCGAAAGGTGGAGTCAAGGCATTCCAGATGCTGATGAGCAATATTCCACGTATTGTCTCGTGGAAATACACCTTGGCACGTGTGAACTGGTTCTGGAAATCAGATATTCTTCAAAAGAACCTTGGGAAAGGCCATTGATGGATTCTATAAATGAAGGAAAATGAAAATAGAATGAAACTGGACTATTTTTTAGAGCCTCAATTTCGGCCAATCAAAGTACAGTATTCGGAGAATCATGGTTCTTTCATCGTGCAATTTTTTCGGCAATTAATTAGTAGCTCCTCACTTGTTCTCCACAAATTAAACATTTTTCAAAATCCAGCCGAAAGATAATCCTAGTAACAGGTGATTCTAGGAGTAAGAATCAGTAATATATACATTTGTTTTTTAATTTTCCTCTTGAACCTACTCCGTCTAGAAACAATATCCAACAAAATCTAGTTTTCAAATATTTAGTTCACCCACTTTATAAATTATTGAATTATCCCCTCAACAGGTGATGCGAGACGAAATCACAGAAGACTATTTTCCTCCGGATCTACCACACTGAGAGAAAAACAGGGGAGTTCTCAAACAAGTCTTACTTGTTCCAAAAAAATCGTTCGTTAAAAAATATCAAAACAGGATTTTTTTGTGCCAAACATGCGAAGCCTCCGCCGAGATTGAATTTTTTTCTGTTGCCTACTCTTCATTGAATAATTATTGAATTCCTAGTGGCATTCTTTCCCTCATGGGCGCATTGTTTTGGCGTATTGGACACCCACGTTTACATCCCAAATATAGGCGTGACGACGAGTGTGTGGACTTTCATCGAGTCAAGTCCTTGAAATTATTACGAGGAAGAGACAAAATTTTCAATGGAACAAATTTCATTTTGCAATGGCTTCCTCACTCGCTGCATTGGTGACCCAGTTTCTCGAGTGCATCATCATCCTTCTCATGGTCATCCTCATTATCCAGATAACGATGACTTCCAGGAATTTGTGAATTAGAGAGAACATTGTCATTATAACGAACATTTGTCACGTACTGTTTGGTAGGAATTAATGCAGAGAGATTTGATTTTAATTAGAGCCACAGTTCGGTTTTCGGTGTAAAGAAAAAGGTTTTAAAGTCATGTATCTTGCATCACAAAACTCGGCGATGGGGAGCCCGCGAGGTTGTTGCCTTTCTCGCTTAGAACATCGCCCACCTGGGTTCACAGCACTCCTCCACGTTCGATGTTGAATTACAAAAAATAGGAGAATAATATTGGGAGAAAACATTAATAGTCTGATAGTTTCCATTGTGTCATATTTAATTGATTGAGATTAACAATGACTCCTGGAAGAGAATAGAATAAGAGAATAGAAGAGAACAGAACAACAGGTTTAAAACAGTAATGACATGTTTTCGGATATCAGGAATTTAATTTTTTCTTGTTCTCAGTGAGTTTTCATGACGGAAAAATAGGATTCGTTGAAATTAGTTAAATGTTGTTGGATGCTCGTTCTGTTGAATTGGACATTTTTTTAATTTATGACGATGAACTTGATTTTTTACTTCATCAATAAAATATCTTACATTTTGTACAAAATTTTTTGTATAGAATTTTTCACCAAAGAGCCTCTGAAGATATTTGGCTGGAAAAATGCAGAGGATGACATTAATCTAAAAAATGTACACAAAGTGTTTGTAATAACAATTGCATTATTCAGTGTTGATATGAATATCATTTGGCCGGACATCCAAGTATCTTCAACACACTAAAGATTGAACCATTTTTAATCTTGTTTCCTTGCAGGTGAACGATAAATCATCAAATTCTTATTGGCAATTCCCCTCTAAAATAAGGAAAAAATCCAACTTATTTGAGGCGCATAAATTAAGATTCTACCTTGGCATAAATTCCCCTTTTTCTTTGACGTTCCAGGTAACGTTGACATTGTCAATGGTAACTTGAAGTTAATTCTCGGTCTGATATGGTCCCTCATTGTCAGATACCAAATTGGTAAATCCAAGTTTCCACCGAGGAAGCTCATGCTCGCTTGGCTCAAGGTCAGTGCATTCACGATGCGTTGTCATATTTGAATGACAATGATTTATTTCCATGGAATTATTATGAGTATTAATGCGTCATTTTATTTCTCAGGCTGTTCTTCCCGAGTGCAGGGTCAATAATTTCACCACCGACTGGAATTCGGGAGTTTATCTCAGTGCATTATTAGACTATTGTAGTCCAGGGTTGTTTCCACACTGGAGACAATTGGACCGCACTGATAGGTGAGTGAAATTCAGTAGCGAAGTGGTAAAACGGTTTGAGTCAATTTTGACTATTGGCCAGTTTTCAACGAGTATCTCGGAATCTAAGGGAAATAGCAAAATTTTTGTTGTAAACTTTTTTGTAGAACCGATTGAGAACTACAACAAACATAATTACGAACATTTCGATATCTCCCTTAAATTCGAAAATATTCCTTAAAAACTCAACTGGGAGATAAGTCGACTTAAACCGCTTTACCACTTCGCTACTGAATTATTCTACCAATATCTTGGAGAATAAGTAGTTGGAAATTCATCTGAACATTCTGCCATTTTTTGAAACCCAGTAGTTTTCAAGATATTGCAAGATAACCAGGGTGAATTAATTAGTATTGCATAGACTTTTCTCATCATCGAGTTGTTTTTAATCCAAATTTTCACTCCTAAAATGGGCATCTATTGAGAGCTTGATTCTTCCAGTGTTTACAACTGTCGAAAAGCGATGGAGATAGCAAAACGTGAGTTCGACATCCCAGTGGTTCTGGAACCCGAGTACCTGGCATCGCCCTACCTGGATGAGCTCTCTGGCATGACATACCTCTCGTACTTCATGAAGGAAAGCTCACCAGGCTTCCACGCAACCCTCAGATGGGTGAACTCCCAACTCACTCATGCGCCAGTTCGGAACTTCACGGTGAGCGGACTCAATTGATTGCAAATCGTTGGCAAATTATCCTCGAGTGAAGATATGTAATTTTTCATTAAATTGATGGCTTACAGACCGACTGGAATGACGGTCGAGCGCTCTGCAGTATCGTGAGGAATCTCGGAGGACCAGCGCCTATGTATGACAAAATAAATCCAGACCCCTCCAGTTGGGAGGCAAATATTCAGCAGGGAATTGATGGTGCCAAGAAGCTGGGAGTCGAGCCCATTCTTAAGGCTAAAGACATGGCTGATCAGAATGTCGAACATCTGGGTGTTATGGCGTACGCCGCACATTTCCAGTGGGTTAAGCCTCGCCCTCAGGCCAGCGAGCAAATTGCTGTTCACATTGAAAGCACATCGGCCAGGGTTCAACAGCCGGTTAGTTGACGAGTTGAATTTATTGCCCATGGAAAATTAGAATTTAATGATTATTGAGCATTGTCGAAGGAAAAATTATTTCACAACTGTTCGCCGTATTTTTCCGAAATATCTCGGGAGAACTTTTTTATTGAGAAATTTTTTTTTATCAAAATTGGGGAGTGAAAAGAGAAAACATCAACCTATTTGTTTTGAAGTTATTGTCCATGGAACATTCGAGTTTAATGATTATTGAGTACTGTCGAAGGAGAAATTATTTCACAACTGTTCGACGTATTTTTCCAAAATATAAATATCTATGGAGAACTTTTTTATTAAGAAATTTTTTTTCCTTTTCATCTTAATTGGGGAATGAAAAGAGAAACCATCAACCTACCCGTTTTGAAGCTATTCGAAAATTGTGGATGATTTAGAGATAGAGCTATAAAATAATTTCCTAGCACCATTTTTCAGAGAAAAAACGCTGTTTCCAATTTATTCCCCAAAAATACATTATTCCAATACGTCGAATAATTTTCACACTCAATAATTGGCTTACATATTATTACAATGTTAAATTATGGAAATGTGGTCAATGGTCTCCTCAAGTCATTCTGTTCCTTAATTGTCATTTTAAAAAATTTCTCTTGACACTCATTCCTAAAGCCGCTTACTTTTGAGATAGTCAATTAAACAATGCACATCATAAACTCAAATGTAATTTTGTTACAGGCAATTTTCAGACTAGAAATGTTATCCAAAGAAGTGAATCCCCGTGAGGTCCGTGGTGAGATAATAAGCCCCTCAGGAAAAGTTGAGTGTCGTCTCACCTGGAACGGCATCCACGGAAAAGGCACTTTCGTCCCCACAGAAGTCGGAATGCACAAGGTTCGTTATCCCAAATTATCTCACCTCCCACAATCCTCTCCTCTAATTCTCAAAAACTACCACTTTATTTCTTAAGATTGAAGTTCTCTTCTCAAATCATTTTTTTGCATTCCTTTGATTTTTACCCTCTGATTTTTTAACAACACTGATGCCATCAGTTTTTTTTTCGACTAATCTTTTGCTGCCCTGTCGCATGTGGTTACGGTTCTATGCCTGTCACAAGGACAAGGAACTGCTGCGAATCCATTCGGAAGCTTACGACGAATGAAATTGACACAAAAACTGAAAAATACTAAAAGCGTAAAATGTGAATGTAATATGTAAAGGCCTTCTGTCGGATGCACTCGACTCCCTGTTTTTTTTCTGCACACAATAATCACTACTTTATATTCTAGCTGATGGTGTACAACGACGGTGAGCTCGTCAACGGCTGCCCCTACTACTTCAGAGTTTTACCTCCGTTAACCAAAATAAAATCCCCGGGGATGGACCCATGCGCCATTGGTTCCATCGTCGAGGTTCTAGTCAACAGTTACGGAACTAGTCATGACGGCATTGACGTTACCGCCTGGTCTCCAACAGGGCGCTCTTTGCCATGCCCTGTCAAAGAAAACAGTGGAGTTCACACTGCGACATTTCAACCTGACGAAACAGGCGAGTGGAGCATTGCAATAACGCATAAGGGTACTCATATACAAGGAGGTCCCTTTACCTGCTTCGTCTTCGATCCAAATGGGATTAAACTTTTGGACACTGAGGGGGCAATGCCAGGTCAACCCTTTTCATTTATCGTCGATGCCACTGGCACTGGAGGCCTCGGAGACGTGAACATCGATATTGTTCACGATAAACAATCAGTTCCATTCAGGATGGAAGACATCGGACATATGAGGTATCAATTAAATACTATAGCAGATTAACTTACGAAATGGATAACTTTTCTAGAAAAAAAAAATAATCTAAGGGAAATAGATTTTGAGCTGTAGGAAAGGTTTTCATAATTCATCCATTCGTTTATAGCATTTTTCTTGTATCATTTAGTGAGTCAATATGCTCGCCACATTTTTCAGCAACCAAAAAAAATTTTGTAGTATTTCGCAATTTTTTGTTCAGACGGAAAAACGAGTGACAAGGTCATTGTTGTTATTTGTAATTTCATAAGACCATTTTGTAGCCCTCAATTTGGTCTACCGAAAACGTCTTTATAATGACACATACGTGTTACCAAATATCCTCCCTGATGCTTCAGAATGAGACAAAACTTAAAAAATCCCTAATCTATCCTTCTAAAATTAATTTTATCCGAATTTCATTGATAGATACAGAGTTTCCCTGCACCCCCGAGATGCCGGCAAATACCGAGTCTACCTCTACTTCAACGGATCCGACGTTCGCGGCTCTCCCATCTCCATTCGTGTGGGCACCCACAAGAGCAGACGATCGAGAGATACTTCGAAGCTTGAAACCTCGAAATCCTCTCTCGAAAAACGCATGAACGGTCTGAATGTCACAGATTCTCCATCCCAAAAGAGCCAATCTCCAGTGTACAAAAGCAACGCCCAGTCTCACCGAACCCCAGAGAGTCCAACCCACAACTACCGAGACTACTCTCACCACCAATCGTATAAGGCCTCCAACTCCAACTACTCAACAGAAAACTCTTCGGCTTATCACGTTCCAAGCCCTCTGAACAATTCACGATCCCCGTTACCCCCAGCCCAGACTTCAAGCCCTTCACTGATCAAAGAATCCAGAGAAATCTACTCCTCGTCCTTCAGCCGATCTAGATCCCCCAAAGCTCAGAGTCCAAGTTTAATAAAAGAGTCTAAGGATATTTACGCGTCCAGCGCATTGAACCGATCGCGATCACCGACCACGGCATCCAATACCACTAGAGACGCTCAAAGCTCAACGGTTATCAAGGAATCTAAGGACATCTATCAGTCCTCCTCATTACATCGTTCGCGGTCGCCTGTTACGACCCCGTTGGGATTTAGGCCTTCCAATGGAAGCCCCATAAACCGAAGTTTTAGTCCTCGAGTCAACAATGAGAAGGACTTTGGGAGGAGAAGAGGATCAGCTGATAACGGAGTTATTGATACTAGCAGCAATGTGAGGGTGTCGTCCAGTGGAGGACCCAGGAGAGACTCCTGGGACGCCATTGCAAAAACTCGAGCCATGCTGAGTTATGGAAGTCTCGAGTCATTGGCTAATCTTGCAAATTCTTCGTCAGTCGAGAATAGTACAAAGGTTAATGGTAATTACCGAAATGATAGAAGTGAGTACAATAATTATGCGATTAATCATGTCAGTCATACGGAGAATTCGACGAACTACTCGACCCAGCGGTTTACGAGCGCTGATTATGGGAGCTCGATGAAGTTTAATGGCGAAAATGGAAATGGAAGAGGATACACCCATGGAATTCTGAAGAATAAGAATAATAATTACTATAAGACTGGGGACAAGAGTGTGGATGGGATTGATGGGGCTAATGAGAGGTTCAGCAATGGAGCGAATTTTGTGGTGAACCAGGAGAGGAGGAAGGGAAGTTCTTTGGTAACTGGAGCTGGTTTGGAGGTTTTGCCGGTGCATAAACCAACGAGTTTCACGGTGGATCCTAGTGTAGATGCTGGAAAAACAACTGTAACCGTTACTGGTGAGTTGAAGGAATCAATTGTTTAATCTGAGTTTAGGTTAACGAGATGAGTTTTGTCGAAACTGTAGAATAATTTCGTTAATTAATTTCCGAAAATGTCAAACAGTTTTTTTTCAGCTAAGGACCTACTTTACGAAGAAGATTTTTAGATGATTTTTTCTTGCATTACTTTGTTCGCAAAGATGCGAATCATTTGAATTTGCTATTTATTATTAATCAATCCACGTGATTCATTCAATTATAACAAATATTCTGCTTTCGTTTGATTCAGGTCCCAATGGAAAACAAGTTCCATATCAAAAATCAACGTTAAGAGGCCAAATGTACACAGTAACAGCTGATGAAGTTGGAGAACACATAATTCAGATTATGGTGAATGGACAACACATTAAGGGCTCTCCATTCAGGTCCCAAGCGTATGATGCAAAGGCTATTCAGGTGGACAATATTCCTGATGGAGTGGTGAATCAACCGGTCGAATTTGAAAGTAATTTTCCCATAATTTAGTAATCTTTAAATAATTATACCTATCATTCAATACGATGAATGAGTGAGGCGACAAAAAAAATCGTCTGTTAGTCCACTCGTTAATTGTTCACACTGATAAAAATATTCAGCTGTCGCCAACAAATTTAATTCCCACGATAAGTTTCTTTTGAGAGTATCTGAAATAAAATGAGTGATTTTCTCCTCTTTTTGCAGTCGATGGCTCAAGAGCTGGCTCCGGAAACTTAGAAATTCTTGTAAATGGCGGTCATGTGACGAGTTTTGTACGTGCACTCGGTAGTCAGAGATTTCTGGCATCGTTTGTGCCACATGAGGCTGTAACTCATCTCGTGGAGATGACTTTCAATGGCGAAACTGTCCCCGGTGAGTTTGCAACATAATTTCCTCGACTGAAAAAAATCAGTCGCGTTTGTTGATTATGCCGAGATTCAAAAAATGCATTATTCTACGACGAAATTTCAAAAGGCTTGTCAATAATTTCGTCTGACAACATTCAGTACTGAACTAATCAACAATTATCATAATGACTTATCGTAATTCACCAATAAATTAATTGCGCACGAAAGGTTCATCTGAGAATGTTTTTCAATATCATTCTCATCATTTGAAATAATTTGGTAATTATCAAGAGAGTTACATAAAGTCGCAAAAACATACGTATCTGTGCAATTACCTATAAGAAGGATAATATTGGAACAAAACAGAGATAGATCATTTTTTTAAAGCAGTCAATTCTACGCAGAAAAGTTTTTTTTTCATTTAGTTCTCACGTCACTCAATACTAAAATAATTACCACTTCTCTAATCATACTTTATATAATTTACGATGTATGTTTCTTCGCAAATTCCTGGGCGTTTCTAGCAGTTGTAAAATCTTCTAAAATGACCCAGAATCATCTGAAAAACTTGAGAATCACCTGAAAAATTTTTCAATCTGTCGAGCATCGAGAAAATTTCTCACGAATGTGAACGAAATTCACAAGTTTTCTAAAGGTTTCGAGAGATCCTGTGGTTTTCTCATTGAGTTGGAAAAAAATTCTCTGATTTTCGTGAAAATTCAAAAAAATTATGAGATTTTCTAACGGACCCTCATATTTTTTGAGGGACTCGGATTGAGTTCGATAGAATTTTCGGGTTTTCCAGAAAATTTTCTGCTTTTTTGGGAAATCCTTGGGTATTCTTGATGTTTCGAGGAAATTTCCGAGCTGGAAAATTTGAGAGAATGTTTGTGAGCACTTGGAGTACCTGGACTACTAAAAAATTCGAAATGCTAAATTCAGAATTTTTGATATTGTGAAACAGAATGGAAAACTAATTTCAGAATTATATAATCTTTTTATAATCCAAAAGTATGTTATTATCATAACCGAGTGACTGCGAATGATCTTCCGTAAATCAAATAATCCATTAGTCCTCTCATTACGTGACATTCAACCCGGCTTTTCCAGGGTCACTGACACAGTGATTTCTTTTCCCAGGAAAGAAATTGTTGAGTGAAGAGTCGCCTCTCATTAGTTGCGAGAATCGAGGGAATAGAACTCCGAATGTTCCCAGTTATACATTTTCCTATTCCATAAAGAATGTTACCTCATTTCCTCGGGTTTATTATCCTCCGAAAGATCGTAAAATCTGTCCTTGGACATTTTGTTACGTAAAAAAACTCTGGAATGTTTTTACTTCATTTATAATCGCCCTGTTATCCGGTCGTTATCTTGAGATTTCCTGCCCTTACAAAAAAAAAAAAAATGAAGCAGAGGAATGAAAACCGGAAAAATATGAACTTGTCGATTTCGACGATAACTGAGTCAGGTGTCTGCAGGGGTCATTGACGCCTTAATTTTTCGCACGCACAGCATCGTCCCACTGACCCGGATCACACTGAGCTCAACAAAGTCGACTTTTCTCCCTCTCGCACAGTCAATCCTTCCATACTCTGCTGAATACCCATGTATTGACGAAACACACGTCAATCGACAGGTCGAGGTGTGGCCACTATTCAATGCTAAGGTGCCACGACGTATTTGGTTACGTGTCTGATCCACGCCCACAATTTCCCTATTACACATCTAAAAAGCCTACGCAAGGTCCAACTCTTTTGCCATTTCTATAAAAATTGATTTCCAAATTTAATTAAATCAAGGCTAAACTCAACAATAACAAGTCTTAAGAGGGATTTTCGAGAGACTGCCACGTATGAAAAAAACGTATAGAAATTTTCTATACGGATTGCGTACAGAAATTCTATAGTATTTCCGTATATGATATTCTGATATTTCTACACTAATGTTTTCTACACGAATTATTTCTGTACATAAACTTTCACATTAATTTTTGTTTTCATACGGAAGATGTCTAAACGCTCTGGAGAAAAACGTAGAGAAATGTCGCAACTCCATATGAAATGTTTCCATATATGTGGCAGTGGATCGTATAGGATCAAACCTATAGAAATCGTATAGAAATAATTTGTATAAAAATATCCGTATAGAAAATTTCTATACGATTTTTTCATACGTGTGTCTTGCCAAAATTGTGGCCAAGCTCTGATGTTCGCCGACAAAAGCAGAAAAGGATTTCATTGAAGGAATAATTCATGAAGTCAAAGTACGTGGATATCCTTAAAGTCCAGCGTTTTCTAGACTCGACCTGCACGCATATATTTTGGAAAGGAAGTTACCAATGAGGAAGACAGTATTGCGCAATTATACATTCGATTCACGCCTGTTAATCCCTCCCTGCAATTGTGCTAAGTATCTACGATGACGATAGTGATTATGAAATATTATGCCGGTGTAAATTAACCGGTTTCGATCATCAACGTGATAATTTAAATTTAGATATTTGTGGAATGCCGTTGCGTTTGCGATAGACCGTTGCATGCTACCAACTACCATAAAAATCTAGAAAAAAATTATGTAACAAAATCCAGTGGTGAAGTGGTAGAGGCAACAAGTCGTAAATGCATTCGCAGGTCAATTTGAAGATATTTTACGAATTAAATTTAGCAGAGAAATTTTTTGAGAGGCCCTTTTATCGAGGATATTGTTGCCCACCTAAATCTTCCTCAGAAATTTCTTTCTGAGCTCGACGAATTCGCAAGAAAATTCTATGGGATTTCTATGACGAATTCGCTAGAAAATTCTATGGGATTTCTATTGAACTTTCTATTATTTTTTGGCCGGTTCTATTGAAATGTTCAATAGAAAATATTCTAGAGAGAAAGTCAACAGAATTCGATTTTTCTGTACGACGTACTCTACGGAGATATTTTCTATAAAATTTCATCGGCTCAAATTTTCCACGTTTTTTCATTCTATTTTTCTGTTCTTATCTCATCACGAAAATCAAAGAATAAAAATTTGAAAAATTTGAACGTCGGAAATTCTATAGAAAATATCTCAACAGAGTAACTCTTACGGAAAAGTCTAATGTCCAGAATCAGAATTCAACATTTGAAACATGCAAAAAAGCTCTCCTGACGTTCTTCTTCAATTTTTTTTATCCCTCGAAGCTTAAAAAAAAGTTTGTCCAAGAATTTTCATTTCACCTCTCCTTTTCTGTATCACGAGGGTTTAATTTTTCTACTGCGATAATTCGGACCACTCCAACATAATCCTTCGCGCTAGTGCGCTACCTTGAGTCTCGAAATCTCCCTTTGAAGCGTGACTTCCAAGAAAACCCAAAAAAATTAATCCTCCAAGCGAGACGCAGTTCACTTACGCGACGAGACTGGAAATCGTATTTACACCAGGAGAAGAGCGGGAGGGGGGGGGGAGAGGAGAAAATGAGACGAGAGGGGAAGGAAGACCGTCGGCATTTGTGTCACTGGGAGCGGTAATTTCAACGCGTGCCAAGCTGCACAAGAGACGAATTCCACATTTAAGATTTGAGGAAAGTCTTGCATGATTGAATGAGACATTGAATGAACGTGAACCGTATTGGTCAACACTTTGACATTTATATCCAGCAAAACCTGAAGAATAAAAAATTCCGGGGGAAAAATAGACCTTGATACAGTTAACCAGAATTTATTGTTCCACTGCGCCATGACCCAGTTCCAAGGTCAGTGCCAAGGGGAGTTGAAAACAATTTACGTCGTCTTCTTTTAATTAGAATTTTTTTTTTGAGTTAGTTATATTGAAGAGTGAAAATTGAGATGACATGAAAAAATTCCAGACCTGGAGAGCTTTCCTCTTTTTTCTCTTGAAACTATTTCTTCATCAATGGAGTACTATTCAGTTTGCTTAATATGACGTCAGTTTATCATTTACGAGATCAAACAGGTGACCCTCGTGCTGTTTGTGTTTTTATTAGAAAATATTTCCATCTCCTTTTTGGTCACTAGAATGCGGTTTTGCAGTGGAGAAGGACTTGTATTTGCATCCAATCTCTCGAGGTGTACGTGAACCGAGTGCCTCGAAGAAAGACGGAGGGGGTAGCGAAAGAACGATGGATGGAGAACGTCAGGTGTGGAGCCACGTGGCCCGAGTACCCGTGGATTTAATTAAAAAATCATTACGAAAATTTTCTGGAAAAGAAAATTGCAATTGAAATCAAAATTGGCTTCGCCCGTTCCTTCATTCATTTTTCTGCATTTTTACTCTCGAGGAGAAATAAGTAGCGCAAGTCAAAAACACGTGGATCCACGTTGGGAAAAAGTCCGAGTGCTTCAAGTATAATTATCAATGCTAATGAGTCGGAATTTTTTTTTCTCAGATGTCATTGGAATCTACAGGTTCGAAGAAAAATATCAAGAGAACTTTTCCTGACAAATACCCCTCGAGCTTCAAAATTAATCGGGTATTCCCCCCAACCTCCCCGGCAAAAAAACGATTGTGCCAAGTTTTGCAGGAACACACGTATGAAAAAATCGTATAGAAATTTTCGATACGGATTGCGTACAGAATTTCTATAGAATTTTCGTACATGATATTCGGATATATCTATACGGATATTTTTTATACAAATTATTTCTATATGATTTCTACAGATTTGATCCTATACGGCCCACCGTCACATGTATAGAAACATTTCGTATGGAGTTGCGACATTTCTCTACGTTTTTCTCCGGGGCGTCTAGACATCTTCCGTATGAAGACAAAAATTAATGCAACAATTTATGTATAGAAATACTTCTTACAGAAAATATTCGTGAAGAAATATCCGAATGTCTTATACGGAGACCCTATAGAATTCCTCTACGATTTTTTCATACGTGCATCCCTCGCGCAAGCGCCCGCGATTTTTGAACCTGCAAAGCTTGCGACCCTCATTCGTTTGCAACGAAGCTATCGGGAAATGCTCGATAATTTTGAAGCTCTTGGGGTACTTCTTCTTAATTTATGGCTCCGCATAACCCCGTTCCATCCAGCCGTTATCCCAGATGTAATTAATTTTCAAATTAGATGGAAAGAAAAGTCAATGGCATCGCTCAATATTCTCCAGTCGTCCCCCAAACAGGAAATAAATTATCAAAAATAGAGCGGAAGACCTCTTAATCACAAGTGTCGAGTCTATGAGAAAAAATCTTGCTGACCCCAGACTCGGGGACCCCCCTCGGGGTAGACAATATACCGGTTCCTTCCTTACTGTTCTTTACATTCCATTTCACCTAAAATTTCTCCTCCAACATCATCGCAATCCCCTGAAATAACTACGTCCCTGAGAGTACGGTGTGCTGGAGTGGCGAACTAGAGGCAACCACACTTGTCTTGCTCCTCGGCTGAGTCCGTTCGGAGTCGGTGAATCGTTTGTGCTGACGTACCACACAGCTCTGTTTCACTCAACACTTGTCGGAATTATCTGCATCCATCGATTATTCCAACGAATTAGCTTCAATTTCCCGATAACATTTCGCTGATATTTTATTTATTTCTTTTGAAAAATGTACTTGTGGTCCATTGATCGTCTCGGTAGATCGAGAAAAGCGATTGACGGTGATTAGTGGATCCTGCGGGTCGCGCCCCGCACGCTATTGGAATCTGTGAGCGATGCATCGATCGTTTCAATCATTCAATCGTTGAAATCGTGTCTGTCAATTCTAGACATTTTTTAATACGTCAGATTTTTTTATCGGACTCGGGGTTCATTCGCCGCGCGCTTTAGATTTTTCGCTTTCAGGGAAGAAATTTAATTGCCGTTATCGAGGTAGAATGAATGCATTACAATATTTAAATAATTTTAAACATTTGAGTGGAAAAAGTCAATTCATTTGCATGTTAAAATCAAGTGAAATTTATATGAGTGAATAATTGTGTTCTCAGGCTCACCTTGGCGAGTGGGAATCATGCCTAGTCCGAAGATGTCAGTCCTCGGGGACTCGGTCAGGCTGGTACCCGCTGGCAGTCCCGCGCTATTCGAACTCTCCGCCCTCGGCTTCACAAGCAAAGAGATTGACGTGCAGATAATAAGTGAGTGAATTGTTGATCAACTAATTCACTATTCTGCTGATATTTTTTCGGAATATTTAAAATGGCATTGTTCTGTGCATTAGCGCCTTCTAAACGACAGACACCTGCGCGTATCGATGAGGAGCCAGGGCGCCCTGGAGAGTTCCGGGTTGAGTTTACACCGAGTGAAGTTGGTAGTCATCTCGTGGAGGTGAGGATAGCGGGACAAAAGCTACCGGCTGGACCACTCATCGCCAAAGTTTATAACAGCAGCCTCATTCAAGTTACTGATGTGCCGAGTGCCGTTGTTGGTCATGCCTGTCAGTTTAGAGGTAAGAATCCGGTGGATCAGAACATTTTTCGTTGTTTAGTGAAGAACAATTCAGTTCAGAAGCGATTCAAATGGGGTATTCTATTCGCGTTCAGTGAATCGTGGAGGTGATAATGAATGAATGAATGTGGGTAATGAGAAATTTTAAAGGTTTGCAGGGGTGAATACTGATGGATAGTGAGGGAATAGTGAGGGAAATAGTTTTGAAAAACATTGGCAATTGGATCAAGGCAACAATTTCTGTTCGAGTCATTCAAAATTCTCGACAATAGGATACCTTTTTAAGAGTGTTTATCCAAAACTGCAAGCACTTGAAAAATTATTGGTTTTTTCAACTGATAGAAAGAGAATTTCATTTCATTCATTATTCGTCCAAGTATTTTTTATGGTTTGGTACAGACAACACTAGATTCCACGATTTTCAATCATCAAATTTGTCAATTCAATTGCGTGAGAAAAATTTGAAATAAATCATGAATATTCAGCATCATTCAAATTATATTCTGCACAGAATTGTTACTTTTTTAGGCATGGCATCGATTTCTGGTAAAATGCTGAATATGCTGAATATTACAAAAAATGCTCGTAATTTTCAAAAATTGCAATTTTTTAATTATTTCATCCATCTTCCGCCAAAAGTAAACTTTGAATTTTTTTTCTTTACATTAAATTGTTGGTTGTTTGTTACACCGGGTTCTTCCGAGGCCATGAGATTCAGTACACTTTTCACATTGCTTTTATTTTTATCTCCTGAGCTCTTTTTTGAGACGAATTATCAATTTTTCAACAAATTCCATGAATTTGTTTATTTCCAACTGATTTTCTTTCGTTATCACAAATGTCAATTTCATATGTTCCCCCATCAGTCTAAAAGAATCCGGATTTTTTCTCTACCATGAACAAATTTGATACTCAGAAAATGGATGAACATTCTTAATACAGTTTTGTCTCTGAAAATGTTCTCAACTTTTGAAAGATGATTGGATGTAAAGAACACTTCATCTTAAAGCAGTGACCTATCTTAATTTCAATAAATTCCTTGAAAATTGCAGTTGACGCAAGTGCCGCGGGTGAAGGCCAATTAGAGATATCGATAAACGAGGGCGAGGTGCCAAATCACGTGCAGGTGGTTGGTGGAGGTCGGTGCCTCGTTTCATTCACCCCTGACATTGCTAAGCCCCACTTGATTGACATCAAGTTCAATGGTGAAGCAGTTCCTGGTTGTCCCTTCGTCTGCAATGTATCAGACACAAGCAGAGTAATTCTCAGTTTAAATCATTTGGAGCTCATTCCTGTTGATCAACCCGCTAGTTTTCACATGGCTGTTGATGGAAGTGGGAGTGCAGAATTAGCGGTCTCCGTCAGGGGTAAGTTTTCCATTGTAAGAAAATAATTGAAAAATAATACTGAGGTCATTTAATTCAGTGGACGTGTAGTTAACGACGGAAAGCACGTTTAGAACGAATGAATATTTGGATTAATTGAACAAATTCTCAGGAATGCGGAGATTTATAGCCACTTATCTGGAAATATTTTCGTACGGGTTTTTATGAACCTAAAAGTAGGTTGTCTGCCATTTGCTGCCAAGTCTACTAGTTCTGAGATGTTGTGAAGATATCGTTCCTGTACCAAATTAAGGGACGGTTCACCCCGAGAAAAGAACTTTTTCGTTTTTCAAGAAAAAAAAATTTAAATACCATTTTCCGCGTGATTTTTCTTCAGGAATTTTTTTGGTTGATCAATAATAACTTAAAAATGTATCTTCTCTCCTATTTTTCATGATTAATGAGCAAAAATTTGTGATCATATTCAAAAAGCTATGTAAATAAAAAAAATCCGTTGGGGATTTTTTTGGTAATTTTTTGTTTTAAAAAACTTGAATCTCTAATTTTTAATGGTCGGAGACAAATTTGACCCACAAAATCGGATTCCTGAGGAAATATCACGCGAAAAAGACTATTTTAAAATTTTTTTCTCGAAAAACAAAGAAGTTTTTTTTTCCCGGGTGAACCTCCTCTCAAATGGACTTCATTTGACCAAAATCCCTAAATGTGGAATGAAGAAATCAATCAATTGAATAATTCTTTTCATTCATCATTCTCAGGGCCTACGACAGAATTACCTGTGAAAGTGACTGGAAATATTCACAGTGGATTTACAGCGGAATTTACTCCTCGTGACGTTGGAGTACATTCAATAAGCGTTGAGTACAATGGACACCCCGTTAATGGTACGCCATTCCTAGCGAAGGCATTCAATGCTGATAAAGTGTTGATTGGACCAGTTGCAAGGGGTAACGTTGGTCAGCCAACTCATTTCACTGGTGAGTTAGTTAATAATCAACAAATCTCAATGAATAACAAGTATCATTAACACGATAATTCGTTGTTTATTCCATTTTATTAAATTGAATAAGATTTTTTTAAACCAATTTTGTTAGATTTTCAACTTAGTTGAATGCTATTATCATCATTATTCTTATTATCCCTCTCTTCTATGCAACCGATTGTCTTTTTTTTAAATTGGTGAATCCAATTTTAATTAATGGCGATTAATAGGGCTCAATACCTAATTTGAAAATAAAGATTCAATTCGATCCATTCATTAACGAACAATGGAAGAAATACTTTGTTCCATCGAAGAAGAATTTCTTTGTTTCAAACAAATCGAAAATTTTCCCAAAGTTTTGCTTCAATCTCCTTCATTAATTTACAAACGAGTTCATTCATTAATAATTTACCCATAATTCCTCACAGTGGATGCAAGTCAAGCAGGCGAAGGAAACCTCGAAATAACGATATCAGCTCGTGGTCAAAACATTCCCACCCAGGTAACACCTCAGGGTAACGCTCGGTTCTCCGTAAGCTTCGTCCCCTTCGAAGCTTGCGAGCATGTAATAAACATAGCTTTCAATAAACGAACCGTCCCTGGATGTCCCATAATAACCCGAGTGGGTGGTGACAGCCATGTAACTGTCAGTGGACAGGCACTGAGCAGTGCAGCACTCGGTCGTCAGAGTCACTTGACCGTCAGTAATGTTTCCGGTAGCTTGGAAGACTTAGAAGTTAACGTTGAAGGTAAGAGAATCCTTGAAGCACAAATAAAAAAAATCTCCCCACTTTAACGATTGAATTCTCGTTTAGCACCAAGTTATTTAGCACCAAATGATTCATCATTTATCACGATTACCTGTTTTATTATTCGAAGCACATACTTTTCTAATTCATTTGGGGGATAAATATGTGTCTACCACAATTGTCTAATCTATAATTAATTGAGTGTCTCATTTCAGTCGATTAATCTGATTTCATTCGAGAGTGCAAACAAATTGGACTGAACTAGTTCCAATGAAAAATGAGAAATCGCAAACAAGGAAAAACAAAACATACCTATCTGTTCCAGGTCGGCCAGCTTTCAGACTACGACATTACTAGACTCCTTCAAATATCGAAAAAAAAAAATTAAACACTCATATTAAAAACAAAATCTAACGCCTATTCTGTGGACTCTAACGAACTTGGTGGTGGGTACTTAATGTCTCTTTGACACTTCTCAGCTTCTTAATATCTAATTACCTCTACATTCATCCTGACTAATTATTTAAGGAAGTTTTTGTTTACCAGGTGCTATACCCTAAGTTGTATAATTCAACTGATTCTTCTTTCAATTGTTTAGTGATTGAAATATTGTGCCAAGCATGTCAAATGCATTAGATAAGATAGATTGAAGGTGCGTTTAATTTTTCACTGGTTCTTGCTGATCAGGGCAGATCAATTCAAATAGTGATTAATAAAAATTTAACAAATGAGCTATTTCATCTTAACATAGTTCAGCTTTTTAGTGTAGATTAGGTGTAACAAATCTAGCTTATGTGGATGGGACATTAGTTTCTCGTGAGATGATAATACATTCCAGTAATGAACAACCCTTGACCCTGGCTGAAATTACATGAAAAATTTGTATAAAACGACTAACAAGCAAGGACTTGATAGGACCCAATGGACAGGCTGTACCAGCACAGGTCACTGACAACAAAGATACTACCTGCAGTGTTGCATTTACACCAAGAGTTGTGGGTGAGCATAGAATATCAGTGAGCCATCGTAATGTACCGGTTGTTGGAAGCCCATTCAGCTGTAAAGTTTATGATGTTACGGCTATCAAAGTTAAAGACGCACAACGGGGTGTTGTCGGATTGCCAGTTACATTCTTAGGTGAGAGTTTTTCATTGTATTTTTATCACAATATTTTGAAAGGGAATTATTTATTAAGGTATATCCCAAGACAATAATAACAGCACCCAAAAGGAAATCCCTATGGATTCCCTGAAAAAATTCTAAATGACTTAATTTATTGCATTCTGTAAGTTATTGAGTTTTTCTGTCGTCATATGATGTTGATGTAGGCAAATAATAAATTATTTGTAATAACTAATTGTTTAAATCAAATAAGAAGAACTTTCACGAAATTTCCGTTTTTTAGAGTTGAATATCGCAGAAACTGTGTAGTATAAAATTTTACAAAAAAATTCACCGTATTCGGAAATTTATCAATCTATCACGGATTAGTTTTAAAAAACAAAAACATCGTAAGAACCGTTTCCTCATAAGCCTCGTTTGGCCTGTGCTTCACGTGTTGGAAGCCCATATTCCATTATTTATTATCTCCTAAAATGTGCAGTACAGCTAGTTAGCATTTTTTTCAATAGCTGGAGACTATTATCTATGAAATAAACATTATCTATGAAACACATGGGGGCATTTTTAAAACCGTGCATTTTTAATAACGTGTTTTCTACGAATCTACCTTAAGTGAAGTCAAGATATTTTTCATGATGGAGAATTTATTCTGAAGATGAAGCATTTCAAAAGAAAATGAGTCAATATTGTAGAAGTAAGGGCCATGAATATTCTCACAGTTGAAACGAGTCAAGCAGGGCCCGGAAATCTTGAGGTGACTGTCAACGGTGGAAGAGTTCCAACGTCAGCCCAAGCGCAGGGTCCTCACACCTATGCCATCTCTTTTACGCCGAGGGAGCCTGTGGTCCACACTGTGGATCTCAGATTCAACGCAGAAGATGTCCCAGGAAGTCCATTCAGCTGTCAAGTAAATGAAACGAATTTTCTCATTCTATAGAATTTCTGTAGAATTCAGACTTTTTTTTCCTCCGCAATTTTTTAAACACATGCAGAAATGCAGAAACAATTACGAGTCACATGTAAAACAGTATGTAAAACACTAGGTGAGTGACACAGCCAAGGTGCTGATCACCGAGGGCCTGGAGAAAGTCTCGGTGAATCGTTTAGCAACGTTCAACATCGAAGCGGACGCATCCCTGGGTAGTCCAACAGTGGAGGTGCTCTCGCCCACTCGGGAAAGTATACCGGTGCAAATAAAACAGGGCATTCACGGTTCATACACAGCAGGATTTACGCCGAAGGATGTTGGTGGGTATCGTCACGAACGTGGGCTAATCCCAACGATTACATAACTTATCATTACGCTAGAACTAGTTTTTCTCTTTCTCTCTTTTCTTTTTGTTGTGCTATAACGTAATCGGTATTTTCCAGGTGATCATAGTGTTGAAGTTAAATTGAGTGGATCACACATTGAGGGGAGCCCGTTTCTCGTCAAGGCATATAATGCGGATAAAGTTAAAGTTACGGACATCAATAGTGGAGTTGTTGGAAAGCCAGTATTCTTCAGTAGTGAGTGTCACGAATGTTTTTTTTTCTGGAGAGTGGAATAATTTTCATTCGTTTATCATTTTTATGTCCAAAAATGGCTTTGGGAATTTTCAAATAGAATTTTTCACATCTTTAATTCAGGATCGAAGCGGGGAACCGGTTCAAGTTCACATATTTCTTACAGTTATTGAAGTATTTGTCGTTCGAATGGGCTTTTTGAAGTATTGGCACAAGCAGTGAATTTTATGCTCAATTCGCAAGTTTATCAGTAAATGATCAAATAATTAATTTAACATTGTTGATTTTAGTTGATTATTTAAAAATGAGATTTTTTTCTCAAAGATAAGTAGAAAAAATAGCAAAAGTATTCTTATTTTGGACTTCAAGGGAATCCGGAATTTTTTCTACAGCTCATTTTGCGCTCTTTCCAAATATATACATATTAAAGACTAGCATACTTTGAAGTTGACTCGTCTCATCGGAGTTTACCACTTTGCCACTGAATTGATCCACCACTCACCTCTCATTTCACTTGCAGTTAACGCCAGTCAGGCGGGAGCAGGGAACCTCGAGATAATAGTTGCTGTAAATGGCAAGAACGTCCCAAATTACGTCCAAAGCGAGGGTAATGCAAAGTTCCGCGTGAACTTTAAACCCCAAGAAGCCGCCGTCCATAGTCTAAGTGTTCGTTTCAACGGCGAGCCAGTGCCAGGTTCCCCCTTCAATTGCAAAGTCGTGGGGGCAGGCCAAGCAGTGATAACAGGCAGTAATCTGAAGATGGGAGCAGTGAAACAGCAAATCTCCTTCACAGTAGATCCACAAGCCTCGGCCCTCAATTGCGATGTCATCGTGACTCCCCCGTCCGGAATAGCTCTTCCAATAACAATTGAGCCCATTGAAGGTCGCTACAATATCAGCTTCACACCAACAGAAGTTGGTCGGCACAACGTCAGCGTCTTTGTGGATGGGGAGCCAATAAAAAATTCCCCATTTGCCTGCAACATCTACGACGTTACGAAGGTGCACGTGTCTGGCTTGACAGAGGCTAGACTGGGCCAGGCAACGACCTTCACAGTGGATGCTGCAGAGGCTGGTGAGGGTACTCTCGAGCTCGTCGTCAGCACAAACAATAATACAGTGAAGGCAGAGGTGGTGGCGTGTGCTCGAGGCCTCTACGATGTCACCTTTGTCCCCCAAACAACAAGCACACACTACGTAAACATCAGCTTCAATGATGACAATGTACCTGGGAGTCCCTTCAAATGTCCAGTGGTAGGTGGAGGATTAGATGGGCCATCTGTCATCAGAGTTGGCAGCACTGCCTACATGGACCTCGATATGCCAAGACTGGAGGGTCCAGTGTCTGCTGAAGTTACTGGGCCTGATGGCATCATTATTCCCTGCACATTGACTAAATTATCATCAACTTTGTACAGAGTGGAAGTTAGAACGAGACAAGTGGGGATTTACAATGTTATCTTCAGTGATGGACACAAGATCATCAGCTCTCAGTCGCTTCAGGCGTTTGATCCAACTAAAGTAAACATTAAGGAAATTTCGGATGCTATTTGCCATCGACCTGGTACGATTGTCGTGGTGGCCTCGAAGGAGGCAGGACCAGGGAAAATCACAGCGTCTGTTAGGGCCGGTGGAGTCGATGTGGATAATGTTGTGAGGGAGAGTGAGAGTGGAGTTTACGAGGTCATTTTTCATCCGACCAAGGCTGCTCCCCATAGGGTTCATATCAAGTACAATGATGTGCATATTCAGGGGAGTCCTCTGGAGGTGGCAGTCAGGGGGCCCACGGGGGGGAGGGAGGTAACTGCCATTGGGCTTGGATTGTATCAGTCCTGCATTGGGAAAATTACGTCGTTCACGATTGAAACGTTAGGGAGACCTGGCAAGGAATTTGATGTGGTGATCAGTGGACCTCAGGGAAATGCTGTGCCTGTACGGTGCTATCAGCATCGAGATGGAAATTTACTGGCTGAGTTCACTACGAATTCCATTGGTGAGCACAATATTCACTCTTGTGGTCGTTAATTGCATGGATAACAGCGATTTTCGGTTATTTTTAATATTTAACTCAATGGAAAAATTAATGACCGCCGAACTACGGCGAAAGACAAACTCTAATTTGCGCCAGGGTTCTTGATATTTTATTGACAATTTTTGGTGAAAATTTCAGATTTTTAAAAAAATTGCTTTTTGAGTAATTAGCGATAAAAAGAATATTTTCCCGTGTAAACTCCGTCAAACTGAAGATAATGTTATGTATGACGTCTCATTTTGAAATATTGGGGTCAATTTGGAAAACAATTTTTTTTAAATAAAAACTTGCGATTTTCATAAATCATAATTCCCTCAATTATTCATATTTTTCAATTGTTCTTTTTTCAAAATGAAGTACTGAAGTACTAAAATATTGATTGCTTCATTTTGATTCTTCATTCTTCTCTCAGGTACCTACAACATTGATGTTCTCCAAGGTGCAAAACCAATCTTGGGTTCTCCATTCTTCTGTCAAGCATTCGATCCAAATAAGGTGAAATTGCAGGAATTGGGACCCACCACAGTATCCGTGCACGACCGTATTGCCTTCAAGTGTAAGTAATAGTCGTTCTAATATTCACTAGAGTGAAGAATGCAGGACGGAAAGAACAGTGTTGACTAATGATTCAATAGCACGAAAGTCTTTAACAATGTTTGGTAAGAACGTGAAAGCGCAATGGAGCAAGATGTGTGCATGAGAGCTTGAGAGATGTTTCAAGGTTGTTCAGGGGAAAACTAATTGCCTAGTTTTTGATGCATTATCGCGATACCGGAGTAAAATATACAGTGCACAGTCTACTTTCAAATAGCCTTGCAGTGAGTGTTCAAGTGAACAGTCGAGCAATGCTAGCCGGTGTTTCCAGTGTAACAATTCACAATAGCTAGAGTCTGATCTAAAACAAGTGGATAGTAGACAAACAAGACAAATGGTAATTGAATTTTCCGGGGGAATTTTTTAGTGATTAAAAATGATGCTGGAGTGGCGGATTTGGATGTAACTGCTACTAGTCCCTTGGGACAAGAACTTCCTCTTCAGGTAACTCCATTGAACGACGGAGCTGAGATGATTGAATTTTCACCGAGCGTTCCGGGATCCTACATGATTAATGTAACGTATGGTGAGTGAGTTCTTCTATTTTTGTCGAGCAGGGATCTTTAATTTTCTTGGTGGCTGAAAATGAATCGATGAAGGTGGAATGCAGTTAAACTTAATGAGTGAAATGAACAATTTCAGTTGTTGCATTCATTCGGAGAACGAGTAATTCCAGGAGAAAATATCAGAGGGCTTTTCTTGTGAATGAATTTTTTCTTTTCTTTTTTTTTTCAAAAAATGTCTCAAGATTCTGTGAACTATTGATTTCACTCGTACTCAATACCAACGATTTTCCAAATTGACGAAAAAAATTTAATAATATGAAACTTTGACATATTACCGTAGTTAATCAAATTTAATGAATTCTTTAATTATATAGTTGTAGATTTTGTACTCTAATAACTAGAATATGCAGAATAAGCCTCAAACAATCAGGTGAAGGCATTGAATTGAAAGCCGAAATTGCAGAAATAGATTCCCGAGGTAGGAATAAAAACCCAAGAGAAACAAACAAATTTTTGTCAAAAGTTTTTTTGTAAAACAGAGTGTGAGCTATTGACATTTTTTACAACCACTGGCATATTCCCTGGATTCCTGAATATTTCAACTGATCTATCCAGTTTTACCACTCCACTACTCTAGAAAATCACTTAGACCAATGCCTGAAATGTTCAAACGTCATATGAAAAATTTACAATTCCAATGAATGAGTCAAACCACTCGACTCTGAAACCAAATTTTCCTGAAAATCCACAGGATGATGAAACTCCAACTTTTACATTTCCCTTCACCAAAAAATAAAAACCCCATTCCCACCAACAGGAGGTACACCGATCCAAGGCACCCCATTGGTATGCACTGTGGAGTCCGCGGGTCAGGCTCGCGCAAAGGGTGAAGGCTTGTTGAGTGGACACGTGGGCAAACCGGCTCACTTCATCGTGACGGGAACTCGGAGTCCCCCAGCAGTGCAGGTTGACGGTCCGGACAGTGTATCAAAGCCGTCAATCGAGGCGGGAGCAAACCCAGGCACCTGGAACATCTCGTACACCCCCACAGAAGTGGGTGTATTCGACGTTCGAGTGGTGTGCGCAGGCCAGCAGTTGCCAGGATCCCCCTGGCACCCGAAGATCATCGACACAAGGAACCTCCGAGTCATCGGAGGTTGGGCAGCAATATGCGACGACGTCGGTCGTCTCAAACTGTCACCAAATAGCAAAATAAGCTTCGACACAGCCGAGGCTGGACCTGGAGAGCTGACAGGCACCATTGACGATCACCTCATCACCTTCGAGATGACATCCAATAACAGATTGAAGTTGATTCCCCCTCAGTTGAACGGCGGAGAGCATCACATGGAGATTTTATTTAACGGCATTCCATTTCCAGGTACGATTTCCATTCATCGTCGATGGTCTCTCTTTTTCAATATATAGGCGTGTGAAGTTTCTCTGGAGACATTGTACGATGTTTGTTTTCAATTCATTAGCCAAGTGGGAAAGCCAGATGCGTCAATTTCACCTCGCGATCAGTTTTTGGGAAACATCTGGGATTTGAAGCTGCAGTTTCTGTAGTAATTTTTTGGACAATATTATTAATTGTCCAAATTAATACTATTAATTTAGCAAAAATCAAAATTATTATGGATATATTTTGCGGTAGTTTTCTGAGGTAGATTTTTTCGTTATTATTATTCATCATGTATTTTCTCATTCCATAGACCATAGCAATCTGTTTTTGATACATAGGAATATGCAAGACTAGTTTATATATTATTCAAATTACACCAGTAAAAGCTTTACCATTCTTTTTTAATAGAGTAATGAACGTTATTGCGAAATGTTTCCTTTTAATCGACTTTTTTAAAAATCCACGTACTTATGAACATGGCTTGTGATTATTCACAGGAGCTCCTAAATTAGCAGTGGTCCAGGAGCTTGAACCTCCTGTGCAGGACACCAGTAGAGTCATGCTCAGAGGGAGAGGACTGACATCAGCCAAAGTTGGTGAGGAAGTTAGTTTCACCATTGATGGCTCCCAAGCGGGAAATGGAACACCAAAAGTTCAGCTTTTCTCACCGACGAATGAAGTTAATGTGCTGCTGCAGCATCTGGGAGACAGTGTTTATCGTGCCAGTTATATTCCCCTCACTTCCGAATCACTTTTAATGACTGTTTCATGGAATGGAAGACAATTGAAAGGATGCCCTCTGCAGATCAATGTTACGAGCGCTGCTGATGCTTCCAGAGTTATTTGTTCGGGTGATGGACTCAAGAATGGAATTGTTGGGCAGGAAATTAGAAGTTTCATTGACACGAGGAGAGCTGGGCCAGGGGAGCTCACTGCTCACTGCGTGGGGCCACACAAAGTTGCGTACTGCGAGCTTTACGATCATGGCGATGCGACTTTCACTCTAAATGTTAAACCACAGGAGGCTGGGAGACACGCACTAACGATCAAGTATGCTGGCGAACACGTGCCTGGTTCACCCTTCACTCTTAGGGTTTCTGGAGCTCCAGACGCCTCTAAAGTATGTAAAATACCCTATCCAATGATGAAATGTAACAAGTTTAACGCGATTAGTTTTTCCAATGATGAAATCATTTTAAAAATTGACGATTTTGAGAGAGAATATCGAGAGGGCTTTTCCATGGAACAATTTTCTCTGCTCCAGAGAAAAGGCTCTTCACATTTTTTCCCATAATTTCTTGTTTCTAAAATGGTCCATTAATTAACGAGGATGTCACGTTTATGTGATTACGGTTCATAATGCCCCGAAAGATTAAGAGAGTTATTTTCAAAAATTGAAAAATTCATTTCAACTTGTGAGTATCGATGAAAAACAGACAGGACAGTTTATCAGTTCACTATAATGAATTTTTAACAATAAAAAAAAATGTTTGAAACTGCAAGGAATTGAGAGAAAAGCAATATTTTTTTGGTATCAAATAAACTTTCTTCTTCAAAAGCAGTTCTCTCTCTCAGTATTTATCACGTCAATAATTCTTTTTATTTTTAGGTCCGAGTTTATGGACCTGGAATTGAACACGGGGTCCTAGCCACATTTCAATCCAGATTCATCTGCGATACAAGAGGGGCAGGTGCAGGGCAATTAACCGTACGGGTCAGAGGGCCGAAAGGTGCCTTCCGAGTGGAGATGCAGAGAGAAACCCAGAAGGACAGGATAATCCTCTGTCGTTACGATCCAACAGAGCCTGGAGACTATAGGGTTGAAGTTCGTTGGGCTGGAGTCCTCGTCCCTGGCTCCCCTTTCCCAGTTAGAATCGTCGATACGCAGGACGAACTATTGGTACTTACCCAGGTGATGACAAACACCCTCCAATAGTAGAAGAAGAAATTTATTATCAACAGGAACGTCAATACAAATTTTTCTAATTTTTCTTTTCTTTTTCCTTCGCAGACTGCTGATACTTATTCGACGGGCCATCATACATTAACTTCCTGGCGGGGATCTCAAGCAATTCTCTAACATTCCCATGTTAACCCCTTTGTTATCAATGTTTTTTTCTCACAAACTAATAATAAATATTATATAATATATCTCATTATAACTTATATATTACGTTTTCAATAAAAATCAAGGATTCAAATAATTTTCTTGTTGCGTTTGAATAATCCAAGTGTTTCCCACATGCGAAAATTTGTCAAGATCCCATATTAGTTTTATACCTCAAGAAGTACTGGACAGATTGGGCTGAAACGACGCGCCGAAGTTGAGTTCAATCATAGTTACAATGAGCCACAATTTCAGATTTTGATCTGCAAGTTTCACCATATTTATGTTAATTTTTATAAAAATTAATCAGCAAAAATCCAAGCTGTCACATACATACAGACATGATCCTAAAAACACAATCTCTTCAATTTGCAATCAAAATTAGAAAAATCCGTTAAATCCAAGGCTTCCACTCGGAAGCAGAACCTCAAACTTGTTGATTATCCATTTATAAACAACTGGGGGCAACGAAAAAGGAAACAAAAATCTATGTTTAATAACATATATTTAAAAAATGTACAGTGATTACCGTCTTCCCCCCTCTTTCTTCTTTTCCTTAATCTCCATCTTACTCAAAGTTCTGAATACCTGCTTTTTGAGCTCCCTCTGCCTCTTAAGCTTCCTGATCTCCTCGACCTCCACTCTTTTCTGATAGGCGGTCATTCTCGCCTTGGTAGCCTCCTTGAGCTTCTCCTGCTTATTCGCATAATTAGTCCTGATCATCTTCATGAGTTTGGCAACATTCTCCTCCTTGACATCCCTAACAACAGCAACTCTCTTGTCCTCGAATTTTTGTATTCTATTCTCCTCGAGTGGCGCTAATTTGGGTTTATCCCTGTAAGGCAGTTCCTTCTGGAGATTTCTGGGAATAATCAGGGGCTTGAACACCTTCGGCTGCCTTTCAATCTTCGTGTACAGCGAATCCTTGTTAGGCACCGCCCTCACATTTCCCTCCCGCTTCAACTGCCCAGTGGTCTTCATTCCCTTCCACTGGTTCTTCTGCTCCATCGGCAACAGCAGCGAATTCACAGGATTGTAAAACTTTGGAACGTCAATTTTATACCAAGTTCTACAGAACACGATATCACTGAGTTGAATTTTATCCTCAAACGTCGCTCTGAAGCATCCCTCGGGTTTACTAATAGCTTTTTTAATCATTCCTCTGATCCCGGACACAGTCTTGATCCTCGCCCCTTCGAACTTGGCCACTTCCAGTGTAGAATTAAACATATCCTTGATGAAAGCAGTTTTTTTATACACCTTCAGAGGCACCCCTGTTAGCTTCAGTTTCTTAACGATTCTCGTGCTCTTATCCAACTCGAGAATTGTTCCCGTAGCTGCAATTCTGAAGCCGGGAATTCTCGTTGCGACATCCTGGACGGCGAGGAACCCAGTCCCCTGGGGGGTGATAGGTCCCCAAAAGTGCGCCATGCAGGCGACATGTTCAGGCGTGTACTTGATCATCCTATTCCTCAAGTTATCCTCTAGTTTAGAATAAATGGGAATTGTCTGGAATCTTCTCCATCCAACAGAGAGAATCAGTGGATCCCTCGTCTTGAGAATCTTGGAGTACCACCTGTGTTTCTTCAGTCTCCCTTGGACGTAGCCAATGTTCTCCTCTCCATGGAGAAGACCTCCGACGATCAGAGGATACGTCGGATCTAGATTCGTAATCAACTCGCAAGGGACCGATTCTAATTCAACTCTAACGTACATCCCAGGTCTGAAACCTTCGAGTTGGACCCTGAGGTCGTCATCAAGCCCCTCAAACTCAGATTTATTCAACTGCGCTTGCTTCTCCACCTCCTGCTTCAAGTCGTCGTAGTAACTCTTCGCCTCTGTGTTGTCATATTCAGAGTCAAATTGCTGTTTCAGCTTTCTCTTTTTCTCGAGGAGTTTCTTTTTCTCCTCAGCTTCGTCAGGGGCCAGCTCTTTAGGGGGCTTGGGTGCAGCCTTCGCTTCCACCTTCTCCCCAGTCTCTAGATCCTCAAAATCTCCAAAGACTTCTTCTTCTTCGTCTTCCTCCAGGTCGTCGAGTTTGAGGAGCTCTTCAGCGTCTTCTGATTCCTTCCATTTGCCTGTTACAAATCGATTTATCAAGCAGAGCTTGTTCTCCTCTGATATCCAGTCCCTAGGTTGTTCCCTCGAATAATACACTGTTTCTTCTTGATTCTTGAGTTCTCTTTCTTCAAGTTTTTGCTTTTGTTTTTCGGAAACGACTTTGAAAATCCCTCCAAGATTCTCGTTGTCATTGTCTTCATCCTCCTGGCTTTCCTGATTTTTTCTCGAATCTGAAACCCCGTAGACGAGCTTCATGAGATTCACATTGGACTGTTGACGATTCAAAAAAGATTCTCGGGCCTTTTTCGCCAGGTCTGTCTTCCATTGGGGAATTTCATCCCCTGAATCTTTCTCATCTTCATCATCGTCAGTTTCCTCTTCAGATTTCGAGTCTACTGCGCTCTCAGGGTCATCTAAGTCTAATTGTCTGTCAATATCGTTGTCTGATAGTTCATCAAAACTCTCGTCATCATCTGACTCACTTCCAGAGTCTCTCTTCGATTTTAGTTGTTCTGATATGGATGAAAATTTGGTGAGAGCCTTGGCTATTTTATCCTTAACTTCACACGTTGGATTTTTACTCAGGGGTTGGTGAACTACTGGCGTTTCATGGAGTGATTTCGATTCTGCTGACGCAGTTTGAGCTCTTAACGAAGTCAACTCCAATTCCAACTCATCTTGCTCATCAATCTTCTGCTTTTTGGGTAAATTTTCGACTGTGTGAGCAGTAATTTTTCTCTTGCCAACAGATTCACCATCCCCGGTGATTTGTTCTTGACTATTTTCGGACTCTTCATATTCTCCATCATCTTCATCATTTTCGTCGTCAATTTCCTCCTCAATTTCGTCTCCATCTTCAGAATCACCGAAAATAACTTTCCGTCTAATCCTCCCACCGTCAACAACATTCACCTGTCCATATCCCGAGCTCACCTCTTCCTCAACTTCCCCAGACTTGATAAAACCAGCTCCACTGAACAACTGCAGCTCACTCTTCTCCAATTTCTCATCCAGAGTCCCCTGAGCGTCCATCAACGACGAAATAAGCCCTGTATCCTCCTCTTTGTAAGAATGACTCCCTCCCAGCTCCACATAAACAGCATCCTTATCATAAACAATGCCCCCAACCCCAGAGAAAGGGGCATAAATGAGCCTTTCCTTCTCCACCAAGGCTCGTTTCTTAATGTGCTCAGGTAGTGGGCAAGGATCAGGAAGAAAGCTCACATCTTTTATCCTCAAATCTCCACAGCCAGGGATATGAATGGAGGACTCCTTGTTCAATGGAACCCCTCTGACATACCCATACAAACTGATCGTTCTGTCCACTTTCGGATTCTGTCTTATAGTCTCAGGTGAAGTTAGATCTTCAACTCTATCAGCTAACAGATAGGGATGCGTAGTTCTCCAGACCAAGGGTCTGAACTTCATGACTGAGATGAATCTGGCCAAGTTCTTGACTTCATTACGAAGGTACTCCTCATGCAGAAGACCAGAAAGGTAAAACAATTTTGCACCTTGATACACCTCAGTCCAAAATCTGTGCTTAAGGATTTTCTTCGTCTTCTTCAATTGCTTAGCGTTGGGTAGGAGGTCCAAGTGGGTCAGTACCCCCATGATTCGAGGCATTCCGTGGACCTGACAAATGTTCAAGAACTCGAAAATCTCCATTTCGAAACCGAAAGAAGCATCCACCAGCAGCAGCACCAGGTCTGCTACTTTAGCAATGTCAATCATGCTGTTTATGTCGTTGTTGCACTCCATGAACGTTATTCTTCGTTTTTTACCTGAGACTATTGTCACGGGGCCCACTACGTTACTCAAGGGCTGGCGGACGTAACTCTTTATCAAACATTGGATTAGCAGTGATTTTCCTACCTTCGGAGGGCCAACGACTGCCACGAGAACTGGAGGCGGCTCCACTGGGGTTCTGTCCACCACTGGAATATGCTGTTTCTTCGTCTCGATGTCCTGCTTCCTACGGAATCTTCTCTCTGCTTTTACTGCTGAGTTGAAGGTGAAGGCTTTTGGGTTTCGCTGCTTGTCGGTTAACCCATCACTCTGGGGCTTCTTCGCCTTTTTCTTCTCGGCTTTTCGACCCGCATTTCGCTCACGATGTGACTTGTGCTTTGTGATGTCTCCTTCTGGTGTCGACATTTTGGTTTTGTGGTAGTTTTTTATTATTTAGGATTGCATCGGTACTATTTCGGTGAGGTTTAATTGTTGCTGCAGGCGCGTGTTTGGACACATGCTTTTTGACTGGATGAGGTTAGGGTGCTGTGGAGCAGCACACCACGCGGTTTCCCGGAGATTTGTTGGCACTGAGCAGAATTGGGGATGGGTGATGTTTGTCGATTAATCGAAAACATAGGTTTTTTATGCCCACACATCGACGTTTTTCATTCGATGCTTTGAACGGCCGATTAATCGATTTTCGATTCTTTTTTCCAAAAACATCGATGTTTCTGACCATTTTGTTTAAGCTATAACAAAATTGCTCTTTTTTCTGTCGAAGAATAATCTCCATTGGTTTTTTAAATTAAAAAAAAAAACTTTTTTTTAGATTTAAATTTTTAACAATTATTGCAGCTAACGGAAAATATTCAACATATTTTCTTCAATTAATCATAAACCCTATTTCGAGATTAAAAATTTAATTCTCCAGCAGTACTTATTATTTATTGAAACGTAAGTTTCTCGAGAAGAAAAAAAATTACTAAAAAAATTTGTTTTTTCTCCTGTGTAATGAGAAAAACATCGATTTTTTAAAAAACATCAATTCTTTGATAATCGATGTTTTTTAAAACATCGCCCATCCGTAAACAGAACGTCATAGTCATACGGCCAGATCTCACTATGGGGACGTTTCAGAAATTATGGTCTGTAAAGAGCATTGGTGGTTTTAGGGGGGGAAAAATCCATAGAATGAGTTAAGAGAATTTGATCAATTAAAAAAAATGTATGTTCTCAGTTCCGTCCTTCTGCGCCTCGACTGATCCCAATTAAAAAATCTATTTATGAATTCTGAAAACTGAAAAAAAAATCAATGTCCATTTTACCCCACTCATGAGATAACACCTCAGAAAATTTTGTAATTATCTCAATAATAAGTGGTTTTAAAGAAAAATTAAGAATTATTTTATCAGAAATTTTCTCTGAAAATTACTTATTCTTGAAATAAATGCATAATTAATCAGAATACTCTCTCAATTTACCCTGAAAATTGATGATTACACAATTCGGTAGATATGGAATGGAAAAAGGCCGAGTGATTTTTTGATTTTCTCTTTATTTATATAATTAAACGCTCAAGTTTCTCTTCACTTCTTCTGCGCTGCGGCAGCCTCGTCCTCTCTCTGGTAGGACTGGAGGAGCTCCTGCTTCTTGGCAGCGAGTCTCTCGGCCCTGCGTTTGCGTGCCTCACGCACCTTGGTACGACGTGCCTCCGCCTGGTCTGAGAGCATCTCAGCACGTGCCTTTTCAGCCTTCTTCTTGTGGATGAATTCCATGAGGACACGCTTGTTCTTGAACACGTTACCCTTGGCTTTCATGTACAGAGAGTGGTATAGGTGCCTGTCGATTTTCTTAGTCTCACGGTATTTCTTCAAGAGACGACGGAGTACCCTCATACGTTGAACCCAGAGATCCTGGAATTAGTAAAACCATTCACCAAAACGTTAGACCAGTTACTTATTAAATGCGATCATTTTTTGTTGGAAATTAAATTTTTTTTTGTCGTTCATTCTTCAAATATCTCGAGAACTAATGAATGTAGAATAAAAAATCTATTTTTATTTGTAGAGAATGGAGCTTTTACGAAAGAAGAAGCAGTTATTACTGAGATTATTTAATTTATAATATTTAATAAGAATAGATCGAAGATTCACCTCCAGATTAGTTTATAAAAATCTTTGAAACGGAGTTGAAAAAATAAAAAGTCAAGAGAGGTATTTTGTAAGAACTTCAATTCCCTGCAAGCCCCCTTGAATCATTTTATTCCTATTCTAATTATAATTAAATTTTCGGTTGAAGAATTCATACAATCGAATTTCATCAATTCAGACTTTCGGAACTAAAAAAAAATCTCTTAATATTTATTTCTGAAAGTACGCGTTACAGAGATGACTTGACAATGAGTTCACGATTTTTAATACTAGAGTCGTTCGAAAATTGATCGTCAGATGATTTTATAAATATTTGAAACAAGAAAGATTTTTTGAGTAATTTCATTTTGGAGAAATTCTTCAGTTATTTTTGAGATATTTCGTAAAAATTAATGGATGAAACACTGAATTACCTTCTGAGGCGTACGAGCATTAGCAGTACCTTTCCTCTTACCGAACCCACAGTGACGTCCCTTCCTCCTAGCTTCAGTATTTTTACGTACACGAGCTCTGGAGTGGACAGCCACTGGCTTCTTGATGATCAAACCATCCTTGATCAGTTTTCGAATGTTCTGGCCTGAAAGTTGACAAAAATGATCAATTACCCTCTCCTACTTGTCCTAGAAAATTGTTTCGCTTTCTACTAAAATTCCCCAATCCCCCTTCAATTTTGGAACATTCAGAAGTAAAATAATTATATTATGGAGTAAAATCTACTCAACATTGCCTCCACCCCAAATACCTCTGAGTCCAAGCGAAAAGACAACCTCAAAATCTCCCCAAATTTCCTGTCCCAATAAATTCCCAGAAACAAACTCCGTCCACTCCCCCAAAAAATAAAGATCAACTTACGAGAATTGGTGTTGGCAATCTCGTTGATTTCATTGGGGTCCAGCCATACCTTCTTGCGACCACATCGCATAACCGAGGCTGCGAGCCTCTTCTGTAGTTTCAAAGAACTGCAACAGAAAAAAACAAAGGATAAGCCCCAATTCACCCATCCCTGCAGGCCTAGAGCATGCAGACAACGAGGTTAGGATTATCTGACACTTGAAAACCCCATCCCCTGGTCCTTCACACCCCCAACCCCTCCAAAATCATGAGCACCCCTCAAAACCCCTGTAAAAATCCCTGATAAACAACCCCATACCCCCAAATGTTTAACAATCATTCCTCAGCCGAGACCATGTGGCTCCCGTCAGCCATAAATACCGCACACCCGATATAAACTCCAATAAAACCCGAAACTGCACTCATCAATCTCCCCGAAAATCCCGTGCAATTGAACCCCCTCACAAGACACTACTCAATTAATTTTCAACCCTCAAAATTCCGATTTTTCTTTCGTAAAACGTGTACCTCATGATTGAGCCTCCGAGTCCTTCGTGGTAAAGAGAATCAAGATGGCGTCGTTCACGTTTCCTAGCGTTTCACCTCCAGAGTCAGTGCAAAATCCCCCCCGCGTAATTCCCCTCGCCCGATATCCCCGTTGACCGCCACAACCTGAATAAAAGAAAAATAATCATTTTCATCGAATGCTCGATGGTAAAAATCATGAAAAAATTCTGGTTTTAACGTTCAATTGACTTTTCGCCCGGGAAAATACGATTCAAACTCAACAATTGGAACACCAGCGCCATGAGAAGCTAGCGCGCACGCGCAGAGGCACCTCCAACTCCCCAAGTCATCTGTCCACGAGATGTTATTGTGCGAAACACGTCCGCGAATAGAAAGGAAAGAAATAAAAGGAGAAAAAAGTTCAAGTACTTGACGTACAGCATGAGAAACTCGTTTAGTGTGCGCCAGTATTCCGCCGTCAGTGGAGCGGTCAAATAATATTTGAGGAATTGTTGGCGGTTGGAAATTCACCGGTCGAAGGGGATAAAGTGAAAGCAAGTGTGGGGAATTGGGATTGCATGAGGCTTTTGGTGTTTCGCAATACAAGTTGTTTGGGTAATTGACGGGTTTGGTGTTGCCAATTGTTGAGATGACAACTATCAATGAGGATCTGCAGCGGGAGAGGGACAATTGTACGTTTGATCCGGAGGAGCTGACGCATACGCTCGATGGGGGTCCTGAGAAGACTGCGGCACGCAGGGAAAGAGGTGAAAATTACGAATTAATTGATGATTGTTCGAGGAACAGACTTTTGCATTCGAATTCATGGCTTTTCAACCGGGTGACGTTTCAACTACGAAAACTTGAGTCAACAGAACACAAACAAATGATGTCCTTAGCAAATTTATCAGAAAAGTTCTTCAAACGTTAATGACCAGTCAGAATATTTGTGTGTTTCCAAATTCGTGATTTTCATTGGTGGGTGTATTAACTTATCAATTTTTGTGTTCTCCATTGTTTATTGAATTGTGCGCCCAAACAACAATCGAAATATAGTAAAAAACTTGAGTGAATTTAAAATTGAATTTTAAAACTCAAAACATTAGATCATTAAATAATTATTGGTATTAAATTGTTATTGAATAATTGATTTTGTATAATTATCAATTGAAAGGAAAACTCGTCTTTACCGAATTACACATAAATCCTCATTTTGAAGACGAAAATGTACATCATCTCAACTGTCAATAGCTATCAGAATTTCTCATCATTTTTCCAGAGATTTCTCAGGTCGATGAAGGGAATAGATATTTTCCCTAGATTTCCAGAATGAAAAGGTCTATTCTAGTCGTCAATGTGTCGGGGTTGACTCGTCCACTCATTAGAATTTGTTTTTTGTTTTTTTTAAATTTAAACCGACAGTAGTCGCGCTATGAGCATTTCGCTCACGCAGCACTAGTCAGCCTACAGGACGTCTCTCCAGTGCGAGAGAGATACTGAAAAGAGCGCGCCTACTGACGGGTTATTAAGAACGGGTTTCGTTATTCTACGCCGGTCATGGTTTTATCTGGGCTCCAGTGTTTGGCGAATGGTACAATCAAAGTCTGAATTGTGAGATGGGAAGATACAATGCACTGACTCGGTGGAATTTCCTTTTAATATGTTCGATAGCGAATGTCCGAATGTTAAATGACGATAATAATGAGTCATTTTTTGAGAACATGTTCAAAACATGTTCAAAACGCCTTGAACATTAGTTATGGAATCAGCGTTAAATCTAGTCTAAAATCCATGTAACCCTACATATTTGCTGTGATGAACGAAGTTAAATGGACACTAAGGCCTGCTACGTTCTCTGAAGCCAAAAATATCCACTCAACAATACTTCTAAGTTACTGAAAACAATACGGTTCCATAACTGGGCCTCGTTTCTCAAGGGTTCCATGACTGGGTCACTGACGCTATTGTTTGCTGGAAATATCAGCTTTAAGAACTACTTGTCTTCAAGATAAATCGTCTTGGGCATTTCTAGTGGTGAATTTGGTGGACGTTGAGTCATTTAACTCATTTGATTTTGCTTTTTTTAAACATTGTTTTTATTCAAGAATGAGTTTAATTATCTCACGTTGGTCATTGTTTTATCTTGACTCCAGTATCTTTGACAAATGGGACAATCAAAGTCTGAAGTGTCACTGGGAAGATATCATGCATTCACTCGGTGGAATTTCCATTTGACATGCTCGGTAGCACACGTTCGAGGGTTAAATGATGTTAATAATTAATCATTTTTTGAGAACATGTTCAAGAGATATTGTTTGCCGGAAATATCAGCTTTAAGAAGTACTTGGCTTCAAGATAAATCGCTTGGCGGATTTCTAGCGGTCAATTTGGTAGACGTTGAGTCATTCCACTCATTTGAATTTGCTTTTTATAAATATTGTTCTTATTTAAGGATATCCAAGTGGTAAATTTTACTGCTCGGTACTGACCACACTGTAGATTCAACGATTTTCAATCATCAAATTTGTCAATTAAATTGCGCGAGAAAAATGTGAAAAAATCATGAATATTCAGCGTCATTCAAATAATATTTCGCACAGAATTATTATTCTTTTAGGCATCAAATCGATTTCTGGTAAAATTCTGAATATGAAATTTGTTACGATTCCGAACAAATAATATTTATGGTGAAAAATTGATTGTTCATAAATTATTTACAGAAAATGCTCGCAATATTTAAAAATTGCAATTTTAAAATTATTTCACCAATCTTCCTCCAAAAATAAACTTTCTAATTTTCTTTCAGATTTTTAAAAAGTTTTCTAATGCTTCAATATCGAGATTCAAATTCAGACCTGCAAAGTTTAAATAATAAAATATAAAAATGAGAACAGTCGATTGACTGTATAATGCACTTCGTCATTACATATCTATAAATTTCAAAGAGATACTGACGTCATTGCGCTTTGTCATCATCATTTAGACGTTATATGCAGCCCTAACTTTTTCCTACAAAAAAATCCTCATGAAATGTTCCTCTCCGCCAAATCGTGAGATGATTTCCAATAACAGATGTGAGAGTGTCGGAATAATGAATTAGCTAAAAATACTTTTGATCGAGACAAATTAGTTTCTCCAAACTTTCCCCAAAACTGAAGGAAACAGGAAATTCCAGAGACCTTTCTTGTGGCTTCGAACTTCCTCCGATAAAGATGTCCCCGCGACCACAAGTCTATCGAAAACTCTTCTGTCCAATAATTAAGTCGAATGGTCTCGTTGATCGGTCATTACGATGACTCTGCAAGAGTTTCACGGGACAATGTAATTTTTTTCCGTGGATTTTCACGAATTGGGAATACTACAGACATTCCCCAGCTGTTTTTTTGTCGGTTTACGCAATGAAAAGTATTTTTCTGACCCCTCAGAACCTGTTTCTCTTGGACAGAGGTTGTAGTCCAGTTAAATCAAGTTTTTACCCCTCTGCTTCCAGAGCAATACTTTCTGAATGATCCTGAGCTGCAGGATGACGTACCTGCGACGTACAAGAGCCACAAAGAGGTGTACGAGGATGCCGTCAGGAGGGCATGTATTCTCCTAAAGAAAGTGCAACAGTTGCAGGATTTGGGAAAGGGGGAGATCGATATGTACTCGTTAGTATGCAGTTTACTGAACAGATGCACTCACTCATTCGCAGTCACTCGAGTCATTTGCATTGCGATAAATAGTAATTAGAGTGAGGCACACTCGGCGTTAATCACTACATTTGCATCGACGTGTGTTCACTGTGAACATTACTACGAGTGGATGAGCGCTGTCACGATTACAAATACATGTGGAAACATTCAATTAAAAAATTCATTTTTATGCATTCTTAGAAATTTCAGTGTCCGATAGAGAACAGAATCCATGGGAGATTCAGACTATTTTCTGTGAAACTATCTATAAAAGATTTTATAATGAATATCTCATGACATAATTTTTCATCGTTGCTTCCTTGGCTTTTCAATGCGAAATTAAAAAATTAGGAGGGAAAACTCATTCAGAGAATGCATGCTGTGGGTTTTTATAGGCAAAATGGCAATAGAATAATGCATTTAAAAATTATGATCGAGAGGGGACCGTACAGTAACTGGAAATTGGCAGAATGAGGTCGAATAATTTTTTTTTCATCCCACAGATACTTTTTCATACTTGAAAATGAGATTTGACTCGTTGAAATCGGTCCATTTGATCGAGTTCCATTTCATTGATTTAAAGTCGATTAACGGCAGTTCGTTCCACCTCGTTCTCCCTTATTTCCACTGAAAATTGGTAAGAAAAAAATTTCCTAACGGAAGCCTCAGGAAAACTGCGTATCATCACTCGACACTTCTTCTACATTTCATCATCTTTTCTGATGGCAAAAAAGCATGCCACACGTCGACACTAAGAGAAAATCGAACGAATGCACAAACAAGTCTTCTTGGGTCCATAAAAATTACAAGTTAAAAATGAAAAAAAATTGAATTGTTTGATTTGATTTGAATTAAAAAGTCTCAAACATGAATAATCGATCAGCTTCCACCGGCAATCAAAGAATTCACACGAATTTTTTATCCCATTCTGTCTCATGTCCATAAAAAAGGCACGAAATCAATTTCGAACGAATGCACAAACAAGTCTTCTTGGGACCATAAAAATTGCAAGTTAAAAATGAACAAAAAATTGAATTGTTTGATTTGATTTGAATTGAAAAGTCTCAAACATGAATAATCGATCAGCTTCCACCAGCAATCAAAGAATTCACACGAATTTTTTATCCCATTCTGTCTCATGTCCATAAAAAAGGCACGAAATCAATTTCCCAACGAATGCCGCAGGAATATTTCCATACATGGCAGATGAGCATTTATTGAGGCAATTGGTGAAGCTAAAATTACTGGTATTGGTAATGATTATAATGATTTTAGACAAGTGCTGGGGGGCATGCTGGGCAGTGGAATTTGCAAAGATGGTAACCCATTAGCTCTACATTACGTCATGTTTATACCGGCTATTATGGGGCAGGGTACCGTTGAGCAGCAGGGCTACTGGATCTCTCGGGCATGGGCATGCAATATCATTGGAACTTACGCACAGGTACTCGACGGCAGAAATGTGGAATGATCGGCATTTTCCCTTTCGGTCAGGTCAGGCGTAAATGACCGGTTTCTGACCCTCACCGAATTTTCTATGCAAAATGACCGTCACAGTTAAGCTGCGTTAAACATGAGCCAAAATGCCCAAAAATCGTCTATATAGTTGCAAATTGGCCACGCGGAGAGAAATATTCAATAAAAATTGCGTATTTTTAGGGAATTCCGGAGCGAAATGTGGTTGTAGGAAATTTTACGGAACTGTCACGGAATTTTTCCCGAGCGTTGTAATTTTTACCTGAAACTCCTGTGAAAAATTACGATACCGTCACTTAAATTTTCTGAATCGATTCTGTAATCGGTGAGTGAACTGTGAGTTCCGAAATTTTTGCTGAACATTTCTCTCCGTGCATCATTTCTATTTTGCTCATTTTTTTCTGATTATGTGGTGGTCATTGGCGGTCATTTAACCGGTCATTTTTGTCACTCACAATCCGCAACTGAACTGATTCTACTTCTTTTAACAGACAGAACTGGGACATGGAACATTCATTAGGGGATTGGAAACAACAGCTGTTTATGACCCAGAGACTAAAGAATTTGTTCTCAACAGCCCGACTAGAACTTCGTACAAATGGTGGCCCGGAGGATGTACGTAAAGTTGAAAGAGTAGATTTTTTGCATTTTGTTTTACCATACAATGAACTCAATAATAAGTGAGAAAACTAATTATGCTGTGAGAAATTTCCTCAGCTGCAAAAAATATCTGCAATGTAGAATTGAGTTATGAGGCAACAGAATTGTATATTTCGTTTATTTAGCTCGTCATTTACGGGTGAAAAAATATTGTTGAATAGGTTTCTTGGATTTTTTTCAGTGGGACAAACAGCGAATTATGCTATCGTTGTAGCTCAGCTTTACACTCAAGGTGAATGTAAGGGGATTCACCCTTTCATTGTCCAACTGAGAGATGAAGAGACTCACGAACCGATTCCAGGTAATTCTTAATTAATCTTATTCATTGAATAATACAATGATCTTTAAAAAAAAATTTTACGCGTTGTTACACATTGTTTCATGTCTTCCTCTGACAAAAAAATCGTGCCCAATTTCTAAAAAAATCAAATTTTCCTCTCCAGGAATAAAAATAGGCGAAATTGGAACAAAATTAGGCATGAATGGCACAAACAATGGCTTTCTCGGCTTTGATAACGTCCGAATTCCCCGTGACCATATGCTAATGAAGAATTCCCAAGTCCTCGAGGACGGCACATACATCAAGCCCAAGACTGATAAGCTTACATATGGAACGATGATGTTTGTCAGAGTTGTATTAGTTACAGATATTGCGAGATATTTATCCAAAGCGGTTACAATTGCCGTCAGATACAGTGCGGTTAGACGTCAGAGTCAGATAAAAGCCGAGTGAGTATGATGTTCCACATTAGTTTACATGAGTAGACAATCTCGATTTATCTATCCAATGAATTTCTTCATTTGCAGCCAACCCGAGTGTCAAATCATCGACTTTGTAACTCAACAGTATAAACTATTTCCACATTTAGCTGCATGTTTGTCATTCTCATTGTCAGCAGAATGGATCTGGCAGATGTATAATAGTGTGTCTGCTGAACTATATCAGGGAGAATTGGAGAGACTTCCAGAGGTAAAACAATTAGAATCATTTTTTATTATAAATTTAATGACAAATGTGTGAGAGAAAACGAATAGGATCTCTAGGAATTTTTTTGCTCATCCACTTCTGTTTTATTTGTTTCATTTGTTTCATTGTCATTGATCAAATCATTCTCGATCCATTATTAAATTAGAATTACCGTTAAAATTTGAAGTAGTCAATTCGTTAATACCACTCTAAAAATTGTTAATTATTAACAATATTATTGTTAATTATTAAAGTAATCATCACTTTAAATATTCAAATTCCGAATCATTTTATCAATCAATAATCAAGTTGTAAAGATTGACGATCATTTGGTAAACCGAAAATTCTTTTTATGAAATTTAGTATTGCTTACTTGATAGAAAATTGACAGTTCCATATTTTCAATTATTTTACTTTGATTATTTTTAAATTTCGGTGAGTATATTTAAACCTTAGTCAACGTCAGTCACAAATTCCGTTAATATAGAAGAGTTCTATGAATGAATGAATAACGAGCTTTAAACTAAAAATCAAGTAATTATTCCCTTTGATTTCAGTTGCACGCGCTAGCATGTTGCCTGAAAGCCGTGGCCTCCTCGGACGCAGCCAATGGAGTGGAACAACTGCGACTATCGTGCGGTGGTCACGGTTACATGACAGCGAGTAATTTGCCAGCGACTTATGGCCTGCTAACAGCGGTATGTACTTACGAGGGTGAGAATACTGTATTATTACTGCAAACAGCTCGCTACCTGGTGAAAGCCTACAGGCAAGCAGTGAGTGGTAACACCCTCACTCCGACAGTCGATTACCTGTCGATATTATGGAAAGGGGGTAAACAGAGGCCCTGGAAGAATACCCTGACGTGCATCGTGACAGGGCACCAGGCAGTGGCAGCTGGCAAGATAAAACTGGCAACTGACAACATGGACCGGAGGATCAGGGCTGGGGAGTGCCCCGAGGACGCCTGGAATCACACGAGCATCGAGCTGGCTCAGGCTGCTGAGTCACACTGTCGAGTCTTCATGGTCTCGCGGTTTGTCGAGTGGATCAAGTCCAGGGAGAACGTCTCGAAGGAGCTTTTAGATGTCCTCAAGCAACTCTGCGAGCTCTACGCTATCTACTGGGTCCTCCAGAGGGTTGGGGACTTTCTCAGGTTCTCGTGTCTGAGGTCTCAGGATGTACCAGTTCTCGAGAAACGTCTGCAGGAGCTTCTTGGGGAAATTAGGGTCAATGCTGTGGGCATTGTCGATGGCTTCGACATCAGTGACGAGGTGCTGGGCTCTGCGCTTGGGGCTTATGATGGAAATGTCTATGAGAGACTCTATCAGGAGGCCATGAAGAGCCCGTTGAATAAGGAGACTGTTAACAAGTCTTTTCATCTGTATTTGAAACCTCTACTCAAGAGTAATTTGTAGGCATTTTATTGGACAGGGGGGGGGAGGTAAGAAGGATTTGAGAATTTTGGCGAATGAAAGGGGCGAGTGAAACTCTTCGGGTCGTACTTGTCATGTTATCAATATGATAGTCATGTTAATTATTGAATTATTCTGGGATTGGGGGATTTCAGGGAAAAAGAACAAATGGACTTTGAGATTTTTCTCTAGAATCAGTCGTCCTGGGAATGATTTCGTGATAATTGGAGTAAGATGCATTAATTCATGTTTAAGTATTCCAGGGCATATACATTTTCATTCTTGCCAAATTTTACAATTTTCTGGCATTTATCTCTGGGGCAATTTGACGAGAAGTCACATCAACATGAAATACTTCATGCTGCACTCCGTACTCCAGTGCAATCGATCATTGTGCCTTTATGATATTTTTATGAATGGAATTATATTTTTGATTGAGAATTTTGAATTGTTAGAAGAGTTTACATTTTCTTACGGTGAGGTGTTCCTTGATAGTAAAATTTAATACTCGTTAAGTAGAGTAGTGAGAAATGTTTACGATACTGTTGATGAGAGGATATATTTTCAATAAAATTATGCTTCAATCGTATGACAGTTGTAAGTTTGTTTATTGGTATTCATGATCGTTAATTTTTATTGAATCATTATTATCGACAGATCACACTTACGATGATTTACACTTCCAGTGGTGAATATAAAATGGATGGATGAAGAGTTTGATTTTATGAGACTAATGTTCGACTGTTGAAAACAGTTGATTCGATGCGACTTTAATGATGCATTCTTTTTTTCTCGTTTATTATTCACTGTTTCTTCTAATTAGAGCTGAGGCTCGAGGTCAAGCTGACTCTCTTCGTGAATCTCTTCTTCACCATCTGCTTCGTTCCTCTGTACACCCACCACTGAAAGGAAATCGTAATTACTCTAGCAATTATTGATGGGGTCACACGTCAGTTCAACTGGAGACGTTTCATCCTAATAATAATGTCATTTAATATTAATTTTTGATTTAAAAAAATATACAGGGGCTTTTTGAGGTTCAATTTTGCATGATGAACAGAGGTGCCAAAAAAATTTTTAAATACTATTACAGGAATCTGATTTTATCGGCCAAAATTGTCTCCGGCCACTCAAAATTAAGAATTAAATTTTTTTTAAATTGAATAAAATAGTTTTTTGAATAAAATGTCCGGAAACTTGGGGTCAAATGGGACTCAAATGGAAACTCTGATGTTCGACAAAAAAAATAGAACAACATTTCACTGGAGAAAAAATAGCCGAAGTACTTGGATAGCCTCAGTTATAAAAAAACACGAGAGGGGATGCATTTTGATATTTATTTGTTTAGCAAAATTTCTATTAATATCTAAAGGAAACTCTCGCCCAAATGTTATGTATAAACTTCATTTATTAATACTAACTCTATGTTTAATGGTCCTCATGCATCTACCTGGTCTTTTATTACTCTATTACGGACAGGTGCATTTTTTTCTACTGTTTCCATTAATTCTCCATTCTTTCTGTGAAAATTCACTCATTCTAATTGATCCTCATAAAAAATTTCGGGCATATAATCGATCCATTGAACATAAAGCTACTTTGGTTGACCAATACACTTAATAATGTATCTTCTCCCGCATTTTTCATAATTAAGGAACGAAAATTTGTGACTATTAAAAAAAAATAAAAAAATACGTTGGGAATTTTTTTTAAGATTGATTTTTCGATTAAAGAAAATTTGAGAAGGGGATGAAGAGTCTCATGATGAATTGTCGTCTAAAAATTCCTGGAACTCCGGGCTTTTCAATATAAAAAATTATTTACTTTGAAACCCCGAAAGGAGACAGTCAACAAGAAGAGCATGAGTGCCAGTAGTAGAGTGGAATATTTCTGAAAAAAAAATTTGAAATTGAAATGAAAGATTATATTTACGAAATTGATATTTCAATACTCAACAGACCCACGTCGTGAAGTAACTGATAATCAACGGCACAAGCGCTGTGATCCAACTCCACTTCAGCACCCCAAATATCGGTGCTGTTTTTCCATGTGTTACAGTTCCCTTAGACCCTTTCTCCTTCATGATGATAGAATTTAAAGCCCCAAGAGAATGCTTTTCTACCGAATCACCGACGAGTCTTTCGTCCTGTTGGAGCCAACTAACTTCGAAAAATCGTTCCCGTCATTTTCCAAAATCCGATGATGAAAATACTGAATGAAAATACATCGATAAACAAGGGCCTGAGCACGTGCGGATGCAAATCCTCAACGAGTGAAAGCAAAACGTTGAATATACGGCACATTGCTAGCATTATCTGCAGTCCTACCTCGTCTTTCCATTTTCGTAAATACGCCCACGATGAAAATTATCTATAGAATTCCTCCGCCATTCTATTTCTCTCCTTAAAAAAATCTTTTTTTAGAGCCTTCCCTCCTCCCATCAAAAGAGTGGGTTCAGAATGTTCGGCGATCGAGAGAAGCTGTGGTATCCTAAACGGTTGTAATTATTCTGATATACAATTTCTATTGATCAACTTTCCGATCCTAAAAGAGCAATTGACTCGTTTCTATTATTTTTACAATCGTTTCCATTAAAAATTTTTTAAAATCTCCTTTTTCGATGCGAAAAAAGGGACGGAATTTCGTGTCACAAAAATGACGAAAAAAATATTGATCATTACTAAAAAGGCAAGCAATTAAGCAATTGTATTAATGTTTCTTTGTACTGTAGTAAATAAATTACGGTAAGGAATAAACGAAAACAAAAAATAGGTCAATGAATACGTTTTGTCCCTTAAGGATATCCAAAAAAAATTATTCGTCGAGGAGTCAAGTCCTCAAACGTCAAATATTCACAATAACAACACTTCACACATTGTAAAATCTGTGCTTGCAGTGTTTTCCTCCCACAATTTATTGCAGAATCTGCAGAGTGGGTCGAAACGTAAGTTTATTTATGCTCAAACCGAGTTTTCAATTTTATTTTCCTCCAGTAACCGCAAGGCCGATGTAAAATTCACTCAGACTTGTAAAGATGAATTTTTATCAAATTAAAATTGGAATAATAACACCACAAACATTAATCTTATACAGTAGTGTTTATTTACAGAATAGGAGCGACCACATACAATAATTGTTATTCATACTAATATAGTGCAATTATCGTTAATTCATGTTTTCATCTTCTGTTAATTAATTATAACGTATTATGTTTATTCCTACGCGTCCGCGAGCGCACGAACGCGAAAGCCTGTGTAATTATTCAATCATTTCTCACATCGTCATAATAATAACCACCAGTTTAGGATTTTTTTTTTCAATTAAATTTTCACGTGTAATTATTTCACAGATGGTTCATATCGACCATAATGAAATGAAATATATATATTTTGAAATAACGAGGACAAGCAAAACGAGGAAAAACATTACAACAGGGGAAAATTTGTATACTCGATTAACGAAGGCGGAAATTGTTATTTTCGGTTAAACTCTGCACTCACGGGCGAATAAGTACATATACATGTATATATGGGATGTTCCAGTGAGTTTTGTGGATGAGATTGATATATACACATATATGTAGATATGCTGGGGGGAGGGGGGAGGGGAATATATCGATTACTCAACGATTTGAAGACTGGGGAAGGGGTAAATGATAGTAATTAACGATACGTTTTAATAACTATTAAATATTTGTCATTATGTTATCTTTCGCAAAAATTATCATTTCATTCGTCCACCTGGTCTGTTGTATCAGACACATTATAATTTTTTTTTCTCCATCTCTTATGCTCAATTGCTATAAGTATTATTGAATACACCCTCTTATAAAATATGATTTCATTATAATTATCATTTTTCTTCTTAATTAAAAAGTAGACAATTGGGCTTTTTCTTTATATCAATTTATCAATTTTTATGTTCATTTTATTGAGTGATTGAATGAGCTCGCGCTGAGTTTACAAATCACTGGGGATTATTCAATGACATTTCTTCAGGTTTTGTGGATTTTGAGCAGGTGAGAAAATCCATAATTTCATATTTGTATGAATTCTGCTGTTCGCAGAATGTTTCGATTGTAAATGATGGAAATCGTTGGACACATGTGTCATTGTAGTAAATAATGGAGAATCACTTTACGAGATGAAGACATACGTGAGAAATATCTTCACCGACTCTTCAATACAAAAAGTTTCGTGCAAAATGGGAGGGAGACCTTTTTTGTAGGGAATCTTATCATCTGCGAAAAAAGTCTCCTGAGATTCGTCATCGAGATAATTGCGGAATCAATGGTTGAAGGGTTGAATAGAGTTGATGTACTTGTCTGGTGTAATTGGATTTTATGCTTTTTTCTTTCTATTGATGATTGATTTTAGTCGTGATAATCGTACCTGTCTTGCCAGTTTCCCCGATTTCCGATGCATGTGGACAATTAATTAATAGCTAACGATGCATCCTGTCTGTGGTTTTTCTCGGTTTATTACGATGGAGATTTTAAAATTCTGACTTGAATCGAGACAAATGGAGATTTCTGGAGGGACTTGAGGATTAGGACGTGTATCACCTAATGATGATGATGATGATGATTTTATTAAATCGACACGTGATCCTCGCTTCGCCGAGGAGAAACGAAATTTACAGTTGGAGATAGACAGAGAGAAAAAAGAAATGTCAAAAATCACATTTATATTGAAAACCAAGTGCCTCTGGGACGAGACTGTTCCAACGAATTCGTGAAGAGAATTTTTCACTGCATTTCATCAGCTGCAGAAAAAATCTCTCGATGAATTCTCAAACCGATTCATTCCGGAGATCCTTGCGAAAAAACCCATCACTGCAGCATTAATTTATTCAATGTTTGTTTTCTCATAAATAATCATGGATTCACGCACGACACCAATCAACTTTGCGCCAATGTGCGTTTATTTATTCAAATGAAAACTGTCATGGTTACAAAAAAAAAGTTCAATCGAAAGTCATATCAACGTATGACTCGCCTAATTCCACACTAACTGCCAAAAACATGCGCAATTAGATTTCATAATAAATAATTACGTACTTCACAGTGAAAAGAAACACTTTTTACTCTTGACTTCATCAGAAATGAAGAAGTTGTAACAATGAAGTATAAATTGTTATTGTTTTGCAACGAATTTAAAATGCTTCGCTAGTGCAATTTTTCGTCGGAATGTAACAAATATTTTGGTGAATTGTCCAACTGGTAGACGATGGATTTCTTTTTTTCTTTCAATTGCAGTTTACCTACGATGTGAGGAGAATCGATGCTGCTCTAAGGTGGAATTCAATGCTCTTACCCATACCATATTCATATTTCTTAGATTAATGTGGCAGTATCGGTGTGATATTCATCGTTTTTAATAAATTTCGTTCAATAGTTCTGTTGCGAAATGAGTGAACGTAACTATTTCACCATTTTGTCATGGTTTTAGAAATAAAGAGATATGTATCTCTTTATTTTGTACCCTAGAGCCACTCGTTAGTGAGATATTGTCTTCGAAATGAAACAACTCGAAATTCGAATTGACTAATTTGACATTTACCTCGAAAACCGTTTGTTAAAAAAAAAATGTTATGAGGACTTTTTTTTAGCTGAAGAAATTTGTAGCAGAAAGTGTCTTCTGACATTTTTTTCTAAAACTACTCTCTATCGAGATAATTCCAAATTTAGCAGAATGTGAATGAACTATTCTCGCTACTCTCCATGTATTTTTCAAACTAATAATTTTGAACGATAATGTAATCAGAATTTTTCCACTGACGAAATTTCCAAGAAAAATTATCTCCTGACTGCGCACCACAAGAACTAAAAAACAAAATAATTACGTTCCACCTCTTCGCCACCGTTCCAATCATACATCTGTCCCCCCCATCGTATACACAATTCCCTACCCTCAAATATTTTTCCATCCGCATAATTTACTGAGTTATCCATGTTTCATTGTTAAATATCATCTGTCTCTCGATAATCGACGTATCGAATACAATGGTAGGAAAGTGTCGAATTTACAAATAGCCGTAGAATTAACGATTAAATATTAAATCCTACCAATATTTAGATACAAATGTTTGAGAAAAGTAAAATGCCACCGTAGACGCGTTTTAATTCACATATCCATTAAATCCTCTCTATTTCAATTAATCTCTAGTTGCCAGTTTCAGTGTATCCCAATGAACACCAATTCGAATGATTACAATTACTAATTAATCAATAAAAAGACAATCAACTCTGGGACGAGCAAAAAAAAATCTCAATAATCCACAATTTTCATCGAATTAACCGTGCAAATAAATAATTACTGCACCCAATCGCACAATAAATACAATTAAAAAAAAAACACGAAGAGATCTCTTGGATCAAGTTTCGGCATAATTTCACGATCAATATGGCAAACGTGTGTTTCAGTCAGTCAAGACTCGTGTGCGCTACTCCATGGGGGGCGGGTGAGGGGGAGGGGGGAGAGAGGGGTTAGACTAAAACTGCAGTTCCTCTCTCGTTCCAGCTGGCGAAAACCCCCCAAAACCCCAGTACAATAATTCGTTAAATCGAATAAAAATCATTAGCCACTGGAAAAAGACAGGACTGCACAATTTCCTCATCATCTGTGTCACAATTACCCACAATAAATCCTCCAGTAATCGAGGATTGTCATGAAGGGAAATTACTTGACTGAGGAGACCAGGGAGACCAACGGACGCAAAAGGGATTCTCTCGAAACATAAAAAGTGGAGGAGATGGACTCTTGGGAGGATCCACGACCCCCCGGAGCCTCTCTTCCATCAGTTGCCACCGTACAAAGGCGTAATGTAAAAAAAAGAAAATAAAAAAAAAACATTATTGGAGGATTTGGACGACTCACAATAAACTTCTCTCAGTCCTATACACATACACACATTATTTTTTTTCCACTCGTATTTATCACTCGTTCTATGTAAAACGCATTTGGAATTTCTGGGGGGTGTGTTTTGAGCAGGGATCGAGGTTTTTTTTTTCTGTTGATTGTTGCTTGTGAAGGGGATTTTTAGGGGGTTCCGTTGGGGTGGTGAGAAGACAGAAGAAATTTTTTAGAATGTCTTCTGCATTGTGAGAGGAGTTGGGGCGGGCTGAGGGAAAGAGAGAGAGAGAGAGAGGGGGGGGGG